TGACTGAATTTTAGGATTGGCACGTAATCCAAAGTTTTGCTCAAGAGCAAATTTACAGTGTTTTTGTCATATTTATAAAAACTTTAAAAAGGAAAAAAACGTTTTATCTCATACGAATTGCAATATTTCTTAATAATCTTTTGTGATTGCATGTACTGAAAATAAAAATACGATGTCATAGGTTTAAAGTTTATCATTCTAATCTCATCTCTTTCTGTGTTTAAAAATAGAGTTTGCAAACTGTATGCAATATTATGTTGAAGGTTTATGTCTCTCTCTCTCTCTCTCTCTCTCTCTCTCTCTCTCTCTCTCTCTCTCTCTCTATATATATATATATATATATATATATATATATATATATATATATATATATATATCAGAGCACGAGAAACACTCGACAAGATTCAGAAATTTTCATTTCCCCTGCATGTGCATTTCTATACAATTTCGTCTTTGACATTGCATATTAGATGTTGAATAGACTTTGATCAATCTATATCTATTTGTGGTACATTTATTCTTGTGTCCTGTTGCAAATTTAGCCCAAATTAGTAAGGGTCTATATATCATTGTAGATAAGGACACATCTTTTGTTGTGATTGTTTGTTTGTCTGTTCGTTAAAGTAACTCCCGGACTATGAATTGGAACGAATTTTGATATCAGTGCAAAATTGGGTTTTGAATAAAGGTTATTTCTCAAAGGCCATTGTCAATTGGCAAAGAAATCGTGAACGGGCAAAACTCTTTGAACGTTGTTGGAAGGAATTAGACCTTAGTATGTTTTGGCCCATAACACAGAAATGTCATACTCAAAGGTCAAGGCCAAGGGGAATCAAATAGTGAAATTGTCCAGAAATTTTGATGGGGAAAGTATTCAAACTTTAGCATGTCATTTCCCATCACCTTGGTTAATTTAGATTTCGATGCAAGGTTACACCTCAAAGTCAAGGACTCTGGGCAAAATTAAATCCAGCTCCTTATATTGTTTATTTTGGTATTTACTTGAATCTACACTTAAAAATAACACTTAAAATAATAATTGAGAAGAATTAGAATTTGACGTTCTTTTGGTCATCTCTTCATTAACAAACATTCTTGTTCAAATCTAAGGAGTGTGTTAATAATTCTAGTGAAGGTTGAAGCAGATAAACACTGTAAGTTTATATAAAATTAAAAAAGAATATCAAAGTCAACAAGACGTAGGAATATGTCGATCACCAAACAGTCTATTTTTCATACATTTACAAAGACTTCAGAAGGTCAATGTAAACCAATGTATTCCAAACAAGTTATAATTTCTCTCTTTTTTTATTTTTGTTATTACTTTTTTATCTTGTTCGAGGACAACTACTGCGTCATGTATTAACCGTGTTCATTACTTCATTGCGTTCGTGTTCTCTGATCTAATGCACGAACGTATAGGTCACGGTCCAGAGGTGTAAAAAATATTTGTGCTGTAATAAACAGACATTACCTACAGTTTTATCGGTCAAGAGGTCTGTCAGGTGTTTTGGCGATATATGTTTTTAACGAAGTAAAAACAATAACAGGGATCTACAACAAATTGTATGTGTTGTGCATCAATAAAAAAAATAGACAATGAAGGAAAGCGCAAATTTTAAGACTGTTTCGAGGAATCTAGAAATTTTGTGAACAGTTGGTTCGAGAAAACAAGTTATCTCCGAAAGTGAAAGTACATACACTATAAAGGGTATATGGTGCATGAACATATAGTATTTTATTGGACAACATATGAATGAAATTAACATTTAATAACTAAAATGTTAAAATTAATCATTCAATAGCCAATACGACGAGAAAAACAAAAATTTTCATAGTCATGCTTGTTCATATATATATATATATATATATATATATATATATATATATATATATATATATATATATATATATATATAGCCAATACGACGAGAAAAACAAAAATTTTCATTGTCATGCTTGTTCATATATATATATATATATATATATATATATATATATATATATATATACATGCATATATATATATATATATATATATATATATATATATATAAAGCACAAGGAAATTCACTTTTATAAGGATACCCACCTCCGCCCCAACCCGGGGTTGAACTCTCGACCTACGAAATCTGTCTCCTAGCAGTACAGGAACAGCGCGCTAGACCGCTCGGCCATCAAGGCAAGTTAATAAACTTGCTTTCGATGCCGATGGAATTCTCGCGGCGCTGTCCTACACTACACGGTCATTGAGAATGGAAGTGAGATACAGTTATTTGACATTAGTTTTATTAGAGGATCGTTACCGATACACATTGTAATGAATTAATTTTATTTATACAGCACATTTTACAACAACTCTGAAACTAACATAACTGCCCTAAGTGAAGAAATATTAATATAAAAAGCACAAGGAAATTCACTTTTATAAGGATACCCACTTATTAATAATATGTTCCTGTACTGCTAGGAGACAGATTCCGTAGGTCGAGAGTTCAACCCCGGGTTGGGGCGGAAGTGGGTATCCTTATAAAAGTCTCACTTCCATTCTCAATGACCGTGTAGTGTAGGACAGCGCCGCGAGAATTCCATCGGCATCGAAAGCAAGTTTTTAACTTGCCCAGATGGTCGAGCGGTCTAGCGCGCTGTTCCTGTACTGCTAGGAGACAGATTTCATAGGTCGAGAGTACAACCCCGGGTTGGGGCGGAAGTGGGTATCCTTATAAAAGTGAATTTCCTTGTGCTTTTTATATTAAAATTTCTTCACTTATGGAAGTTATGTTAGTTTCAGAGTTGTTGTAAAATGTGCTTTATATATATATATATATATATATATATATATATATATATATATATATATATATATATATATATATATATATATATATATATATAAAACCCCATTTTAAACACAATTTCTAAAGAAAGTTCGGGTATATTGCTGCCCTTTTCCCTTCGTCCTCCTGTCACTACTGTCTTCTTCATACACCTGACCGATGATGTCCTGTAGATGTGCAATAAGGAACTTTTACTTTTATCCTAGGGACTCACTAGTGGAAAAAACAACATTATCTACAAATACCTGATTCCCAGAGCTCCTTTTACATTTTACGCAGTAGGCAATACATCTTTTGGAAAATTAGAAAAAAAAATGAATTTTCATTTCCAGCCAAGAGTCCAATTGGTGGCCTCTCCCCCCTTCATCTTGGGGACCAATTATGGACCAAATTTAAAACGCTTTTTGTATTACCACAAAAATCTTTCCAAAACTTTTTTTCAAGCAGAATCTATGCTTCATTAATTTTTTTTTAATTTCACTGGTGATGAATTTATTACAAGTATATATACTTATAATTATTATTATACATGTACTATTTTGGTTTCTTTGCTAGTTATCCATGTACGAAGGAAACTTATGAGAGTATGTAGTTTTGCTTTTTATTATCTGTTGGATTGTATGACGTACTCCTTCCAAAGATATTTTACACATAACTTATTGGACATAATTTTTTTTTTACCTGGGCGATCGTAAAACTCGTCGTCTGATTCGTGACTGTTGTGGAAACGTGTGAACTGTCTGTGAGGATTCCTAGCAGATTGACTCAATATCCTTGAATCATTCATAAAAAACAGAAATTTCCTCGTTGCAATATTTCAAAATATATAGAAAGGAATCGTGGTCTCGAGACATTTTTAATAACATGGAGTACAGTTAATCTTTGTGTGAGAAAGATCACGTACTCATATTGAGGTTACGCAGGTTCTACAGTCCAAAAAGTCAATCTTGTAACTTCATAAACAACGTTTACCCCTGCACGTTCACTTTATATATGCAAACCTTGAGGTACTTTGGTTACTTTTATTTTATTTTTTTTTAAAGTACTTTCGTTATTTTCATTTTTTTTAATGTTTCTTTATACAAATATGATATTGCTTCTCAGTCTGTATAATGATGAAAGAAAAAACATCTTGTAAGTTAACTTGAAAATATTTCACATTCACATAAAAACAAAAGTTTATTAAATTCTTTACCGCCAAGATATACTGATAAAATCATGATTTTTAAGCAATAATGTCTCTCTAGAAGAGTTGATATTACATCTACTCATTTTTCATTGAAAAAAATTATATTATCATTCAAAAACAGAGTGTGCAAACTGTCACGTCTTGTTTCCTTCACTCATTAGGAAGAATACAAATAAATATTATATATTGCTATATCATTATATTTTCTGTTTAACAGGAGGTTAATATCATAAGTTATTGTAACACAACTCTTCCTGCATATTGATCACTCCATGTCAAAATATTAATGTTGCAAATGTTCCATGATATGCATACATTTCAAGAACTAATAAGAAAGTTTGCTATACTTTTATCACAGCATAAAGGGTTTATACATCACGTGTACGTATGGCAGATATATTTGTGACGTAGTAGAAATCTGTGTATGAATTGTGAAATCCTGCATATATTTTGCTGAACACAGAGTTTCATGATAATCAAGACTGTCTTTCATTTCTTGTATAGCATTTGTAATGGACAGTACAGTTTTCAAAGTATGCTAGTGTTTATTTAAAACGGCTCTCATAAGGTCGTGTAAGGTCTAACCATGAAGGTCAAATGAATTAGCCATGTTTTATCATTTGTTTATCAGCACTTAAAATCTAGACTGTAGCTTCACCAATGTGTCACAGGTATAGGTGTGAGGTATTATTATTTACCTATCTACTGAAAAACCATACACGGACTTGTGTTAAATAAATCTGTTAAATTTAGGGAAAAGCTTTTAAGTTACTTGTTCACGTGGTTAAAAATTATCCTTGGATAAGTAATGCACTTTAGAAAAAAGTGCAAAGCACATCTCTGGTGCATACAATGTGTTTTGAATTACATCATTTTTGTGGCTGATATCGTTGTTGTATTCTTTACTCAAACATTTACTTGGCACATTATTTTTCTTGAGCATGAATTGTCCATTAAATGTGATTTGTTTGCAAAATAAGCTCATCGGTTCAGTGATTGAAGATGTTGTCTCTTCAGTTGCCAGAAATTTGCCGTGATAAATCGGGAAATATATGGTAACGTTCGGAGTAAGGAGTGAGCAAACGTGCAGAAATGCAGGGTAGGCTCACCAATGTACTGACTGAACCGAAACCGATTTGATAAAAAGGTAAACAACGCACGTGTAATTTTGCATTTTCGATTTAATGTGATTATTTGAATTAAAACAAAAATGAGTTACTTCTTATTTTTGTTTGATTTTTCTACAATTTGATTTTTTTAAGAATTGGCTGGGAGACATACGGTTGTAATCTTGTACTTTATTGATACATTGATAATGCGTGTGAGAATGTACTTTGAATTCTCATACAGTCATTGTATATTGATAGCAATACACTTTGGATATGTTAGTAATGATCACATGCATATTTTAGCAGAAACACCATAATTACTTTTTATTGCTACCTTCATTCTGTTACAAGTTTAATTTACTTATGATGCAATTTATTTTTACAGGATGTCCTAAAACAAAAACGCATTATATTAAGGATAGCCTTGGGGAATTTTTTCTTGCAATACCAAAGAAGCCTTTTTTATTTTATAATTATTGCATTAAATAGTTTTTTTTCTTTTTTCAAACTATAGTGTTTTCGTTCATTTATATATTTAAACCATATTTAATATTTAATTATATATTTTAATAAATGTTCATGTGGACAATTCACAAATGTAGAAAGGAAACAATGAAATGCTTGTGGGAAATTGTTTTGTTAACACAAAGCTATCCTATCCGAATAAATATGCGTAATTTCTTCTCTTTTTTGTTTTAAAGAATATTCTTTTTTACATACAGGAAGTCTTGACTGTATCTCCATTAGAAGTATATTGATAGATCGATTAGTGGTTATGTATTTATATTCAACAGCATAGGATTTACCTACATAAGGAAGTTATCAAACGCCAAACTTTAAAAAAAAAAAAAAAGACTGGAATGTGTCATAATTTCATTCTCCTTCTGGCAGAGAGAATAAGACACAAAGCTGTCTTTATAATTTTTTTTATTGAACTGTCTATCGCATCCTGGATGTAAAAATTCTTTTCAACCGACACACTTGAAACAATACACAAAGACGAAAAAATGGTTACGATTCTATCATTAAAATTTCATTAAGCATAGTTTCACTTAAAAAAAAAATCGTGCAATAATTATTCATTCATAACAACAATTCATCTTCCTCACATGTGAAAATATATTTATATATAAATGATCGCCCTGTGTCATTTGACAAATTTCTTGAGGTTGAAAACCAGGAAAACTGTCATTGTTGAGAAGTGCATTGTTGTTTGTCATGGAATATATATTTCATAACACGAGATGCACAATAATTAGTGCAAGTAAAACAATACTTTTCTGTGGGTTTTTTTCATAAATTATTTAAATCATGAGATTCTCTTCTCGTAGTAAACTGAAACTAAAACGTTTTATTCTGAGGAAAATACGCTAGATATTTTAATATCATCAAACCGTCACGGTAGCTCAAAGCGCTCGGCAATTTGAAGTGAAAGTTGCGGGTCCTTCGGATGAGACCTGAAAAACCGAGGCCCCGTGTCACGGCAGGCAGTGGCACGATAAAGAACCCTCACTGCTCAATGGCTCTGAGTGCCGAGTAAAGGTCTAAATTTGAAACACTTCATCGGTATATGGTGACGTCTCTATATGAGTGAAAAATCCTCGAATGGGAGGTAAAACTACAAACAATATATCATCAAGCTTGGTTAGTGTAGACAACAATAAAAGCAGCACAAGCTTGTCAAGCATTTCGCAGCTTAGAAGTTACAAAGCACAGAAGTTATAACGAAAATAAACACAGCGCAAAAGTTGCCAAAAAACAAAGCACAGAAGTTATTACGAACAAAACACAGCACAAAAGTTGCTAAAAACAAAGCACAGACGTTACAACACAAAAAAATAGGGGGAAAAACAAACAAAGTACAGAAGTTAAAGAAAATATTAAGGAGGCATAACACAGTATTTACAGAAAGGAAGCAAAACACAAAACTTATAGAAAGGAGGCAAAACACAGAACTTACAGAAAGGAGACAAAAACAGAACTTACAGAAAGGAGACAAAAACAGAACTGACAGAAAGGAGACAAAACACAGAACTTATAGAAAGGAGACAAAACACAAAACTTATAGAAAGGAGACAAAACACAGAACTGAGAGAAAGGAGACAAAACACAAAACTGACAGAAAGGAGACAAAACACAGAACTGACAGAAAGGAGACAAAACACAGAACTGACAGAAAGGAGACAAAACACAAAACTTATAGAAAGGAGACAAAACACAGAACTGACAGAAAGGAGACAAAACACAGAACTTATAGAAAGGAGACAAAACACAGAACTGATAGAAAGGAGACAAAACACAGAACTGACAGAAAGGAGACAAAACACAAAACTTATAGAAAGGAGACTAAACACAGAACTGACAGAAAGGAGACAAAACACAGAACTTATAGAAAGGAGACAAAACACAGAACTGACAGAAAGGAGGCAAAACACAAAACTTATAGAAAGGAGACAAAACACAAAACTTATAGAAAGGAGGCAAAACACAGAACTTACAGAAAGGAGACAAAACACAGAACTGACAGAAAGGAGGCAAAATACAAAACTTATAGAAAGGAGACAAAACACAAAACTTATAGAAAGGAGGCAAAACACAGAACTTACAGAAAGGAGACAAAACACAGAACTTATAGAAAGGAGGCAAAACACAAAACTTATAGAAAGGAAGCAAAACACAGTATTTACAGAAAAGAGGCAAAATACAGAATTTACAGAAAGCAATGTACAGAAAACAAATATAACACAGAAATTACGGAGAAAAAAGCAGAGCACAGAATTTAAAAAAAAAAACGAAAGCACAAAATTTACAGATAACAAACACAGGGATTGCAAAAAACAAACATTTTTAGGGAAGAAGTTACAGAAAGATGGTTTAGCACAGGGGTTACTAAAATCAAAAGGTTAAAGGTCAGTTTCAGAAGACATTGCAGAGACGTAAAAGGAAAGAAAACAGTACAGAATTTACAGAAAAGCATAGTACAGGAATTACAGGTAAAAAACAAAGCACAGAGTTTATAGAAAACATAGCACGAAATTCCTAAAAAGACAAATGGCACTGGTTGAATAAGCTGTAGAAAAATGTAAACATTTCATCAAAATCTTCATATGTCTAAGAATCAAGTACAGACTTAGCAAATCAAGTACACAGTCGAATTGTATAAAATTTAGCACAATTAATGATATGCAAGTAATTGATATATGTGAGACAAGGCGAACAAATGAAAGTTTTAAAACAAAAAAATTAAGATTGAATTTAAATCTATGCAGTTGTCTAATGGAATAAGAAAATGCAGAAAAACAGGCATTGTAGTATTCAAAAGAACAAACACATTTACCATGAAAAAGAAAATTAGAATATGTTGGTGGTCCTTTCATAAGAAAATGTGCACAACAGATCTATGACAATTTTCGGGTTGGACGTGGCCACCTCTTACAAGTCCAATAATGTGCGAGGACTCTCGCCTGGGTGCGAGATTGATACTAATTAGTCGACTAATGTGCAAGAACTAACCTTAATCTCTTGTGAGTGTTAAACAACGCCAAATCAGTCAAAAAGGTGCAAGGGCTAATCCTAATCAGTCGATTGGTTTGCGAGAATATCCAAATCAGTCGGATATAGAACTTGCCATAATTTGCTGGATTTTGAAGGGGAAGCTACTAATATTGACGGTGTCGTCCTAAATGTTGTTTCCGCCATCGGACGAGTGAGATCATGCATCGGGCTTTGGCGAGATCATCAAAGTTTGGCGTTTGGCGTGACCTATATATATATTATATTATATTATATTATATTATATTATATTATATTATATTATATTATATTATATTATATTATATTATATTATATTATATGTATATATGACTGAATAATCCATAGCCCTCTGATGGCTGAGATCCAACACTGTAGATATTCACCTGCACGTGACCTTCCAGGTGAATATAATGATTTATTTTTTACTACATTAGACTAAAAATAGATGGAAAACTTCTAGATTCATACAAATAGTTCTGGAAAGTTGAATCACTTGCAGCGACTTCAACATAAGTGAATTTTACACTCTGGCACATAGAATCGGGAGAATGGCTGCCTCCTCCCCACTGTTTTGAAAGTAATTTTTTACTATTTTAGTATGAAAATGTTCATTGAAAGGCTAGGTGCCCCCCGACCCTTTAATGGACCCCTAACACTCCATCACACCCCATCCTCTCCCCGAAATACAATTTCGAGTTTGGTGAATTCTTGGGCGGGGGGAGGGGGGGGGTGTAGTCAAGGTTTTTTTTCAGGAAAACTGTCAATTTTTTTCCTTATGAATAATCTCCCTGATTAAAAATTAATACGATGTCCCTTTTTTCTACATCGCACCTCATAGGTTGAAACAATCTAAATAAATACAAATGGATATATCAATTTTAACCCCGCTTCTCTCTTTGCATTTGGCTATAAATACAGCAAATTTAAACAATCAAGATGACATGGATTGCTTAATGAGTTTGCATGTCTCATTTAATCATATAATAAAAAATTATTGCTTTTTTCAGTCAACACGATAATTAAGCCACCTTCGGAGTACAATATTTACCTCGCCCTTCGGGCTCGGTGATACTGCATTCCTCAGGTGGCTAAATCATTGCAGTGACCTTGAAAATAGCAATAAGTTTATAATATATATATTGAAAATCAAAATAGCGAATTTCGGGGGGGGGGGGGGGGTTCTGAGTCAACGAATGGCTTTTCGAAGAACGATCATTAAAACATATTGAATTTCGAGCCGTTTTCCTGTATACCTATCGATTTCACGTGGTTGCTGATATCCGTTAACAAGGACTAAAAGTACTTTAATGTGTAATCTTGTTTACGTTCCAAATATATTTTTTGACAAAAAATCGTCATTGTTTCCAATAATTATTCTTTAGAAATCGGTTAATTGCATGGTTTAAAGAATATTCAATTTCTGACTACAGTTTTTAACATTTTTATCGTTTTCCTCTTAAGGACAAGCGAACTTATAAAAAAAAAGTGTTTAAATGCTTAATTAGTCATTAAAACCGGTCTTCCGTGAGGAAGCCAGTTAATTGCAGATTTCGCTACAACATTCAGGATCTGCACGTAAGGGATTACTTAATTATCAATGTAAACCATGTAACTATTTGTATAAGAAGAAAAATATCTTGAATAGTATATTGTGCGAATCAGTATACTGTTATAAATCAGCCATTCAGATCTTATCTCCCTTGATGTAAATGAATGGTCAAATTAGTCTCCTGTAAAAAAAAAAAAAATGCATACTAAGCAAAATAAATCCAACCACCCATACCAATTCTGTGTGTGGGTGTGTGTGTGTGAGGGTGTGAGAGAGAGAGGGGGGGGGAGGATTTATTTGTGTGTTTCTGTTTTCCAGAGATCATTTGCAGAAGTTGTCTCTCTTTTTCAAAAGCTGAACTATTCACAATCGTAACATTTTTTAATCACATATCGATGATTTTAATTAATTACAGAAGTGAATTTAGAATTCGCAGAATGTCTATAATATCGGTTATTTTTGCTTAAATTCTTAAAATTACTGAAATTCCTAAAACCAGCAAAGACAAACGTTTAGTCATCGCAAGAATATAGTGAAACACCTGATAGACTACAAGGGATTAATATCTTTTAAAAATTCTCAGTTTTATAATCATTCTGTTCCAGGATATCTACAATCTAGTGATCCATTACACGTGAAAAATAAAGCAATTTTTCAATAAAATCCATTTTATATAGAGGGAAGTTCTAGAACCTTGGTTGACTTGTTTTACTTATGAATTGCCCTATTTTTAACATCGCTCTTCAATATTTATAAATGTATCTCCAAATATGGCATATATAAGCAAATTTCCGTTCCTTTTCCACAATGTGTTTCAGATAACATTGCACTTTACTTTTTTCTTGAAAGTTTTTAGAAGGGGTCATTAATAGACAATGTTTATTTGTCAATTCGATATAAAGCTGTCATGTTTTATACTTTTGATTTTTTTTTTTTTACTTTAGAAAATTGGTTTTTGGGTTTTCGATTGTTTTTTTTTTCTTCCTTAAATCTACATCAAATTTTGAATCAAAGATTAAAAAGTGGGACAACTTCCTGAAAGTCAAGCTAGTTTCCTTCAAGTGTCATCATTGGGAACTCAAAGAAGCAAACCATGACTTTTCATTATAGAGGGGCTATAAGTTGGCAATATCTGCTATCCAATCCAATAATTAATTTATGTTAAATCTTAAATTACTATGTCTTTTCATATAAAGAAAATATGCCTTATCCCCAGCATGGTTAATATACACTTTAGTATTTCTTAAGGATGTTTAAGGTCAGACGACACGTTCCTAAATAATATATAATTTTTTCCAAGAGTTTGTCATTGAAGTATTGCTTCTTTAACAAGTTTCCTCACAAAAAATTAAGGTATCTTACCAGGAAAAGATACCATAGGATGCTATTTACTATAGAATTCTATTGGAAATCACTAGCATATTGTCAATATTAAAAAAAAAATTGGTGTCCTTTTATACTAAGATATTTTGAAAACAGTTTAAAAATCACAGGTCAATGATAATTATGATTAATTTGTTGTATATTATGAAGAAAAACCAAACAGATATTCGAGCAACGTGTCGTCAGACCTTAAATTTACCTTTATAAGGTATATATAATATATACGTACCTGCAGATTATATATATATAGTCTAGCTGATAAAACAGGGAAAGTAAGGGCACCACTCAACCCCACCCCACCGCCCATCCATGCATTTACTGAATATATTAACTGATTTTTAGCAATAGGTGGTCGTAAAAAATTGAGTACCGTTTAACCTGGCCGTGAACCCAATGAGCGTGGCCTTCGTACGCCTCAAATTGCGTCAGTGCGCGCCACCGTCTACATTCATTCATGTTTTATAGATCTGCCAGAACAGGCAGAACTGAAGGGATTTTTCTCCCCAAGGCCACTTTTGAATTTTAATTTTTATATAGGTATTGTCGTATACGTTTTTCATCACATATAGCACTACGGTACATGTATTGTTTTGTTTCAGAATTGAATTTATACCGAGCAGCAGGTATTTATGACATGACTAATATATTCTTGCATTTTAAGTTTAGCATGTCGGTATTTTAGTGCACGATGCATTGCAACAGAGGCAGAATACAGCTTGTATATACATGTACATATGCAACGGACTTTTCAGCTGAGAAGTGCACAAATATATTTGTTCAAGCCGTCTTAACTCCGATATTTTAACAATTACCAGTCATGCATTTCAGGAACGGCCCTTGATATCTGTGTAAATTTACATGATAAAAATACCGAAATAATGTATCGGGGAAAACAGGTTTTCTTCTTTTGTTGTAATGTGATTCTTCATTTCTCAGAGAGACAAGGGAATTTAGTCAATTTTCTTTTATTTTGTACTTTTCTTTACATATATGCCGTGGCTATGGCCATTGTTTCATTCATGTCTTAATTCCTATATACTATATATGTAGCTATCCATGGTGGTTCTTATTGTCACGTCAACTTCAGGGGAAGTGAGCAAGACTTTAAAAACGAGATGTACCGGCATGCGAGCATCATGTCAGCACTGCATTAAGATGATATCGTCCATAATAAGATAAAAAAAAAACTTTCACCGATTGACACTTTAAACTTGCGCTTTAGGCCTGACTTGGAAACCTGGAATTGACCCTTTAATGTAACGTTACATTGGTCTCAATTGTAAACAACAGCTGCATTAGAACTTCATGAGCGCCAACAAAGATGACCCTGAGTCGAACCCTGAACATCAGGCATTTTTGATACAGAGGGTCGCAAGGACACAGAAAACTTAATCAAAGAGGGATTCTTTGTTCCGTGCCGAGCGTGTAGGATCGTAGTAACCCCGACCTTGAACATTTTACCCCACCGAAAAAATCAATGAATGGAGTCGTTTTCTCCCTTATAGATTCATTAATGTGACATTGGGATAAAATGCTTTATTTTTTCACTGCTTTGATAAGAGCTTTATTTTTCACTGCTTTGATAAGAACAAAAATGTACTTTTGATATTTGCTGTTTCTGCTGGGAGAAACAGCAAACGTCAACAATTATATTTCTCAGGGATGCACACACAACAAAACAAAAACAAGGAATTATTATGATTTTCTTGGTTTGCAGCTGTTGAGGAAAACGTCCGAATGTGACCCTTGCTTGCAGGAAGAAAATCGGTGACTCGCAATTAATGCAATGTTAATTCCGAGGCCTGGATTCGAACAATGCAGAGCCATATTTAGACTGTAGCAATCTCTCCTCACTGAAAAGTTCAATTGGGACACATTTCTTCATCACTGTCTTGTCTTGTTCCACGACTTTACAAAATAGAATTTCCAAATTTTAATTAATACTTTGAACTTACACATTATCAGCATTTAAAGGGGTTTTTTCTATTATTTTTTTTTTCAAAGATTTTGAACAGTAAAGCTACCGTAGATTTTACGAGTAAAATTGGTGATATCATAAGGAAGTCACTCGATCTGCAGTATAATAAGCATAAAATTTTGTGACAGACAGATTGGAATGAATCTTCAATAAAAGTTAAAGGACGTGACAGGTATACATGCTGACTTTCCCACAATGGTTTTCAGGAAAGCTTTCATCAAAGAAAATAGAATTGTTTCATTATTTTCTTACTCTATATAATTAAATATACATTGACTTACGTCAAAAAATGTATAATCAAATATACTTTAAAAGAAAGGATATTGGAAATCTTGTAAATTTACAAGTAAAGGTCTACAAACTAAATTAAGTAAGTTTGAATATAAAATCTGTAAAGAATGTAGAAATAAAAAATGAAGGAAATATTCAAGATATGAAAATAAATTTTGTGTGTCTGTGATTTGATTTATGATTTTATTCTCAGTATTGGAGGGGTGGGGAGGGTGGGGGAATTAAAAAATTAAAAATTAAAAAAGAGGTTAATTTTTGTCTGAACTCTCAGTTAAATCTGATGATGTTTACCTAGATCAATCTAAGTGAATACGATTTTACACATCTGTTCTCCAAGGTATTCACGACCAAGTGTAGTAAATTAGCAACTTACCAATGTTTTAATGCACACATATGCTTTAAAAATACAGTACATGTTACATATATATATATATATATATATATATATATATATATATATATATATATATATATATATATATATATATATATATATATATATATATATATATATATATATATTTATTTATTTATTTATTTATTTTAAGAACGCTATAATATAGATATTTTTCCATTGATATAAATATGTTGCAATATTTGTTTGTTTCTCAATTCTACAACTGGAGGAAATAAAGATTAAATTCAAATGATTTATTTAGACTTTCACGTGATCGACAATAATCTTTAATACAGTACGTATGGGCCTAAATATATTTATCAATCCTAATATTAATTGTTTTTATGATCGATTTTTACCCTTAAACAATTAAATGGCTATCCAACTTGCAAATGTGTGCCTAAATACAAAGTAAATTCATTACTTCAAATGTTAGATTAAAAAAAATACTTGAATAAAGAGGTTCAGTACAGCAGTTATCCAGCATTGAAATTTATACATTCAATATCGTTTTTTCCTTTGAATGGAGAGGATAAAAATATCTTCGCCCGAATAGTTGGTTGTTGAAATAAACTCTAGAACTTCTCGGTCTGATTAACATTGTGAATGCCTTGGGGCCAAAAATAGATTTGTTAAGAACTACCTACATAAATATGCAGAATAATATGAATGCTTTTAATTTAATAGATCTATAGGTACAAAAAATGTCATGTTCGGGAGAACGGTAGAATTATTCCCAAAAACTATTTACAGCATAAAGGGGGAAAGGGGTGTTTTTGCTAATTAATATGTTCGTCTTACAATATGCGCAGCAGAATATTGTGACCCGATTGTCTAGAATATTCCTTCCTAATAATAGTACACAGATAATACGCCGACCTAGTTTTAAATATTTTATTGATGCGATAACAGAAGTTGCAAGTATTACACTTTTACAATGTATACCAGAGTTATTTCCCGAGGAGCATTTGCCGTGATAAACAAACCCTAGCAATATTGACAATACGCTACATGAGTCAACCGACCTCGACCTACTTCTATTGCAAACGTAAACACATTTTTTCCGTTACTTTGCTGGATCCATATCAATCATGGAGGTTCATAGGTCAGAGAACACCAATCAAATGTAAAGACCGAATTCATAGCCAATCATCTTAGACATGTAAGCCATTTACGAGTAGCCCACCGAGTATCAACAAAAACAAGCAATCTTTCGCCGGCAGATGGAAGCGGCCGGTATGTGTATTTGAATGTTTTGTGGAAAAAGAAGATTTTTGTGTCTGTGACAGTTGCATATTTTAATGAAATACAAAAGTTTATGCTGTATTAAAGATGCCACACCAAAAGCATTTCAAAAATCAAAAAGGGAAAAGGGAGGATACGAATAACAACGTGCAGCAGATTGGCCATGATAGAAACGCCAACGTACACGCTGCTCAAAATGGCCACCAGCAAACTCATGTAGCGTGCTGCACGCCGTCTACCTGTCTCACTCCGGACGAGTTGATAGATCCGAGCGACCCAGGAGATGCGGTAAGAGTTTATTGCAATAATGACCAGTGTACAATGGGAATTTGGATGCACGGTAATTGTTTTATTGACTGGGAGGAAACTGTCTTGGCGTATCTAAAATCGTGCGGGCGAGCTCGAAGCTGGAGTGAAAAGCAACGTTTACAGAACCTGTGGACCAAAAAAGGATACGATCTTGCATTTAAAGCCTGCGATTGTAAATGTGGCCGAGGTCATATCCGAAAGGACTTGAACTACGTGCCACCACCCAAACCTGTAGACAATGCAGTGAAAAGCAAGAAAAAGCATAAGAAAAAGAACGACAAGCCTATGGCCGTCGTAAGCAACGGAAAACCGGGCCATACCTCAGCTGTCAACTCTAACCATGGTCCATCGGCGCCTGTCAATATAAACCACATCAACAACATAAACAACAACACCGTTATAGCAACCAGTCCAAGCAACAGCAGCAACTCGACCTTTAGCTCTAGTCTTCCGGCCAGAAGCAGCCCCATTAACACACCTCTCGTTAATGGATTTGCACACATGCGTCTACGTACCAACAGCTGTGAGAGCACCGTCAGTACAGGCAGCTCACCCCCAAATTCAGCTGGATCAACTGGATCCGCCTCTCCTATACCACAGTCACCCGTGATCAATGGCAACTTCATGTTTTCTAAACAGCAGAAGCCAAAATTTGACAACCCATCAGAAAGCACGCTTCAAGCAGGGGCGTACTTCCGTCGCCGAGTCGACATGTCAGCGTTCAACATTTTACCAAAACACAAGCAAAACCCGTACCATATAAAGATGGAGGAAGATAGCCAAGGTAATGACGAGACCAGATCGTTTGTACTAACCCATTTAAGTTCCTACAAGGTTAGTTCCCTCAACTGTGTGTTGTGCAAAACGGTTCTACCAGTATTCGATCGCTATCCAATGATCGACGGTACGTTCTTTCTGTCTCCGCAAGCCTACGACGAAAGCGTCGTTCGCGTTATATCAGACGGACGCCTTCAATTCATCAACGCTGTCTGTGTGGGTTGTTTGGAAGGTGGTTCAGATATATGCTGCGCCGCATGTAAGAAGAAATGGGATGGAAGTACTCTACTTTTAGGTACAATGTACTCCTACGACATCTTTGCCGCTATGCCATGCTGCCAGAAGCGTTTGACGTGCAAGCATTGCAGACGAGCCGTTGTTGACGTTAACACGGGATTATCATTCTACAGTGAATACAGCCGTATGATAACGTGTCCATACTGTAAAGCGTACGACTATCATTTCATTCGTCCAATGTCGGACACATTCGTTGTCAAGCAGCCTATATGGAACTGAACTTTAGCATCTCCGTAGAATTTATACTCCAACAACAAACTTTATTGCAATATTATCCATGTTTTACCTTTTTTTTGTTTATTTTTTCCATGCGTAACACCACGTCTTCTTTTTTTTTTTTATTTTCATTTTGGAACAAGGAAAAGTTCGGATTGCGCTACGGAGAGGCATTAACTGTAGAACAGAGGAGGACTTTGTAGAGTATACATGTAGAGGATACTGGTTTTTGTCGTAGCCCCCACAAGTAAGGGAGGATGAGGAATTGTGTTTTCCTTTACAATATTATTTGGTGCATACTGAATAGTGCTAATTGGATTTGTGTCATAGTGTTATATATTGGTCATGTCCAACTTAGTTTATAATTTACACATTTTGCTGTGACTTTTTTTTTTTTACATCGGCAATGACTATTTTGTAAAGTGCCTATACTTCTCTCCCATTGCTAACTTGGTGCAACGCCAGGATTTCGTATTCAGCAAATGGCTTAATCTTTCTGTGCGATTATTTTTCCAACAAATATTTTAACAGTCTGCAAATTTCTGAACTTGAAGAAAACAATATTACTGCTGGCGAAAATGCAACTTCTTAAAAAATGGAATGTTTCGTGAATAGAAAAAAAAACTTGTGTGCGGACAGATTAATGGCGTCTGGTAATTTTATACGCATGTATATTTTGGAAATTGAATACTATAGTACTTCGCTAGGCAGCATTTTATGTCTATATACATATATATTTATAACGAGTATTTTGTGTACACATATTGTATTTTTTCGGAGATTCATTGCCGTGTGTGGGATGAATTTTAGGAATACATTTGTGTTGAGGACCTTAAGACTTCGAATTAACTTCATAGCTGATCATGTCGTTTCTATTATAAAAGACTTATCGTTAATGGTGAGAAACGTTTTTGGTAAATGGCATTTCACAATGTTTTCTACTGTATGTTATTTTTAATAATTAAATAAAAACCAAAAAACTCGACTTTTTGTTCTACATGTTTAATAGATCAGCTACATGTAGGTCATTCTTAAGAGACTGAATCTTACGTGGTCTAAAAATACATGTCGAATATTGTCCTTGAACATGTTATTGGTTTATGTCACGTGACGACTGACCGACATTTTTATGTTTATGTTCTCAGCTGAAATCCATTGCCAACATCAGCACATTGATAAAGGGTACAGGTCATTTTAACTGTTTACTAATTGTAAGAAGTTTTCAATATAAATCTTAGAAAAAAATGCGCAGATTGTTAATTATATCAGTATAGTGACTGTATAAAACACCGTTAACAACCCCCCAAAAAATCTGTGACAGGTCGATTTACTTTATTTGGGCGTTTATGGTAATGCCCCACTTTTCGAAAATAAAATATTGGATTCTTCCCTTTAAATCTTATGTGCATTAAGATGTAGAACAAGATGATTTCGTTACTGGTTTCTCTTTTTTGAGTCACGGAGTCTTGTTTGAATGTCCAACCAGTAATCTGACCAGCACCTTGATAGCATAGATTACACATCCCGTAATAATACATTATTATGCAATGTATTTGGATATGGCGTGCGAGAGATCGATGAAAACACGACAGACCCATTGATAATTTCCTGACACAGTAAATTGTCTGAAGTTGGCTCCTATCCAAGGATTTAATCGCGACAATTTTCCGCAATGTTTTCTTATTCAGGAGGAAGATAAACCAAATATGGATTTTTATTACCCCACAAAAACTTGCGTAATCAGTTTTACAGACGGGAAGTTAGTAATTATTGCAAAATTAGAAGCAATTTGATAAATCCTAAAATTGTCCTGCTACATTAATTGGGTAGAAAAGGGAACGAGAATTGTTATGATGCAGCAAAAAAAAAAAAAAAAAAAATTGAATGATTCTTAAGCGGCATAGTGCTCTAGATTTAAAAAAAATGTGTCAATTCAATGCTCCAGTTACGCCTTTAATAATGCATGTTAAGAGGAGTCGTGTAGCCATAAACAGGATATTCGACTTTCCATATCGACAGTCGTTTAATGTTATGTCCGCCTCGGTTTTGAGAATTAAGCTTCTCTTAAAATCAGACAATCATTCATTTATACATGTTATAAGAATTATACACAATTAAAACACGTTCCTAATGCGTATATATGTACTGAACAATATTCATAATGCAGGTAAACAATGGATTTCCTTTTAATTTAAAACCCATATTTGACTTGAATTTAATTAATTTTACCATCTATTTATATTTATTATTATTATTAGTTTTAATTTTTTCCCTGGTTTTTCATTTATATTCACCCCCACTTCGGTAAGGAAATCTTTTCTATTTCTCTATTTTTTTTTATTTTGAAAATATATACACTAACGCTGGGTTCAAATTATTTCCCTATTTACATTTGTATGTAAGTAGGCTCGTATGTCGAAGTCTATGACGAATCGCCTGATACGGAAACAAAGTTTAGATCTTACATGTGTATATATATATATATATATATATATATATATATATATATATATATATATATATATATATATATATATATATATATATATATATATATAGATATTAAAATCTTTATATGTGAAAATCTATATCTGAGTGCATTCAAAGAAGGATAACTCTAATTTTTTACCATCTCTGTTTGCAAAACATGAAGTCATTACCCTTGGTCTTCCGCTGGCCCGAAGAATTCCATGACACAGAGAAAAAAAATTAATTAAATGTTAATAAAAAAAATAAATTAAATAATTAAAATAAATGTCACCAGTCATTGTTATTGAGGGGAAATTTTTTTTTATAATTGCAAGGAATGTTCAATATCTATACTGCAACTTTACTTAAGGATAAACAACACAAACAAACTTTTTTCAGCAATATTTCTCAGATTTATATTCAAATAGGTAACCTGAATAATATTTGCCAGGTAAAGTGGCCGAATTTTGTACGATTTTGTCACAATATTAAAATGTTCACAAAATTTTGTATAGAATTACACAGATTGAGAAAAACAACAAAAAATCACATATCTTAGCACCAACGAAAACTTACGATTTCTTGATATTTTAGGGATTTATTATTTATGTCATTTCTAATCAAAATCAGTCAAAAAATATATATATATCCATGCATAAATCTCTGTTAGTGTTATGTATCCTTAATATAACGAAATTAGAATCCATTTTCATACACCGGGGCTTTCATTATTTTTGAATCTTCGTACGAAGATGTTCACTTTTTTACTGATTTGCATATATGTGATACATAGTCGATCAGCGGTTCTCTATTTCTTGGAAGTATATGAGATTAACAGACATGCAGACATAGTTTAAAGGGGGAGAATATACATTTACTCTCTCTACTGTAACCAAGTAATTTTAACCACTTTGTGACCTGTTGAATATTATTCTTCAATAGGCCCTCAAGTTAGCTGTGAATGGTTTAGGTGCAACTTGCTTTACCAACCACTGCCAACTGAGCTACGTTTATACTTGGAAATTGTGTTCGAACACGTAAAACTATCAGGGATGAAAGTACGATCATCTGTACCTACATGTACATATACCCATTTCGTTATAACTTTTATGTCATACAGAAGAAATTAAGAGAGAGAGAGAACAGCAATTTTTTTCTACATGCCCAATCAGTATTTGCTCAACCCCTCTTGCATACTTATCGGCCTAGTAATCTTCAAACAATTAAGGGGAGGTAGAGTGGTAATTTTTTTTCGTTTGAATGTAGAGCGTCGATCGTTACATAGGTCTTTACATGTAGAAACGAGAAAGCAATATTTCGATCGTGGCAATGTCTTAAGACAACTCACTCTGTGAGACTGGAAAGTGGCAAAGCGAGTTTTGTTGAAATTAGGATTTATGAAGGTGGGAGAGAGAGAGATAGATACTCCCCACTTCAGTAAAATTCAAATATTGCAACGAATATAATTACATGTATGTATTTGTCATGTTTATTAAAGTTATCTCAACACGAGTATCGATCGAACACGTCTTAACATAGACTGCCAATCTGATTGGCTATTGTTTTTGAAAAAATACCTACGGATATTCGAATGAACATGTGAGAAAATTTAGACATTTAATGGCTTTCTCCCGGCTGTTCTTAGCCCACTCGCCCCTACAGTACACCTCTTTTTCCTTTCTGGAGAAATGGGTGTGTTATTATTTAATAGCCAACATTCAAAAGAAAGCTCATAAGTTCCATTCAAACGGAAAATTTTACCACATCAATGCGCATCAGTAAAAGTGTAACCTCTCGATATTTACTAAGTGGTACAGGCAAAAAACACCCAATTATTTTTATCATATCACAATCTTACAATGATGCACATTGATATGGTAATAAAAAAATTCCGTTTGAATGGAACTTTTGAGTCTTTCTTATCGAACCTTGTAACATATCAGGAATGAATTTAATTGCTACCCATTTTATACGGTATAAATTTTTACACTAGAATATTTCGTTGCCGTTTTTCTGTTCTCTTTTCAGCCTCAACCAGATATTATATTCAAATCAGGACTCTGAGCGGGCCAAACCATTGAATGCTTATTATTCTTGAACGATTCGGGCTCTGTGGCCGGGGCGTTGTCGTCTTGAAATATTTCGAGGAAAATGGTGTGCTACATGTATAACTGGCCAAAGGTGTTCAATGTATTTTCGAGCATTAATGTTACCGTCTACAACAGTCACAGTCCCTACACCGTTGAAAGTAATGCAGTCCCATATCATTAAACTAAACTTCAGTGTTGGAGGTTGTGAGAGACAACATGGCATCCACTCTTCACTCACCTTTCTCCAAATAAAAACACAGTTATCAGTCCCAACGTTCATCACAAAAGATTACTCTGTTCAAACAATTATCGATAGTCTTGTATCTGTTTCCTCTACACCAGGAGAGCCGTGCTTTTCTGTTCGCTTCGCAAATTCTGATACGTTTTCGAGTAATCCGAGATTCCTCTGACTCTAACCCCTGCTTTCATATTTTGACATCAAAATATAAAAGCAGGGGTTAGAGTCAGAGGAATCTCGGATTAGTTTTCGAGCAACTCTTCTAAAATACCCCTGCTGTTCTTATACCCCTACTGTTTTTGAAAAGATTTTAAAAAATATTTTCCTATGTATACTTATGCAAAAACTTTGACCGCTCATTGTGGCCCCATCCTACCTCCAGGCAGGGGCGTAGCTATAGGACTTTGATGAAGTATAGACACTAATTACCCTGTAAACGACAAGGGGTCAGGGGGCCGACCAAGGCCCCTAGCTGGTCCAGGGCAGCGCCCTGGTAGGGGGTTCAGGGGTGGGGGGGAGCCCCCCGACGGAAAATAGATTTCACGATTTTGAGCCCCCTGTGTGACAAATTCTGGGTGTTTAAGATGCAAAATTCTGGCTCTCTTTAAAATGAAATTTCATAATAAGTAGAAAATCTAAAAAGAAAAAAAAAGTGCATTCCAACTTTTTTTACCATTGGTCTTTAGTTAACTAAAAGTTAGGAGCATTTTTATTTTTTCGGTGGAATCAAATTTAGAACATGAAGAAATTTATTTAAAAAGTGTTTAAAAAAAAACATAAGACACAAATCAATGTTTTACAATAAATGATGAACAAATAAAAGTTTTGTTTTTTTTAGTAAAAGCTAGTCTACCCACAGAGAAGAGGTAAATTTGGGTGGACAGCCATAAAAAAGTTTACTGCTGTAACGTTAATTCAAATTAATTATGTAAAAAGACAATTAATACCACACATAACATATTTTTTCAGTAGCGTTTTAAACTTGCATGTAGATTTTAAAGACATTTTATAAGGAGTCCTACAGTGAAACAGCCCGTTAACTATTGCAGGTTATTATTGCCTTGCACAGTATGGTAGTCATTTATAAATTCATGATCTCTATCAATAGCGAAAATCATACCAAGTCATTTATTTTTTTCTTTTTTTACAGTTTCGTTTTTATAATTTTTTTTTTTCTGAAAAATTAAGTGTAGGCACGTGCCTTAAGTGTCTAATGGCAGCTACGCCACTGCCAGGGGTCATGATTTGAACAAAATTTAATCTATACACTACTTCACAAGAATTCCACATAAGTTTCGTATTTTCAAGCACAGTAGTTCTTGAGAAAAAGATTCTTAAATGATGCTATAAATTTTTCACGAATTCATAATTATCTCCCCTTGGAAGAAGGCGTGCCCTTCATTTGAACAAACTTAAATTCCCTTCACCCAAGGATACTTTGTGACAAGTTTGGTTGAAATTGGCCCAGTGGTTCTTGAGAAGATGAGTAAAATGTAAGTTTACGACAGCGACGGAGCGCTTTTTTTTCCACTTGCTCAAGGTATTAAGATCAAGATCATTACACAATAGACCCTTATCTTTCTTTTAACCTTGTGTTACGGCCTTGAAGTATCACCTTTTAACCTTGTTATACAGCCTTGAAGTATCACCTTTTAAGCTTGTGTTACAGCCTTGAAGGATCACCTTTTAACCTTGTGTTACACTCTTGACGTATCACCTTTTAACCTTGTGTTACGGCCTTGAAGTATCACATTTTAATCTTGTGTTACAACCTTGAAGTATCACCTTTTAACCTTGTGTTACAACCTTGAAGTATCACCCTTTAACCATGTGTTACAACCTTGAAGTATCACCTTTTAACCTTGTGTTACAACCTTGAAGTATCACCCTTTAACCTTGTGTTACAACCTTGAATTATCACCTTTTAACCTTGTGTTACAACCTTGAAGTATCACCCTTTAACCTTGTGTTACAACCTTGAAGTATCACCTTGAATGCAGACATCAAGTGACTTAGTGGAGTCACTGTTATCAAGTTAACTTTTGAATAACAGCTGCAGATCAAAAAAACATGTCACAATATAAAAATATTACATGTTTATTATGGTAACTGGTGATATTGTTATCCCTTGAAAACCATTGCTGACCATGGTGGAGCCGAGGTCAGCAATGGTCTTCAAGGGATAACAATTCCCCATGCTACCCTAAATAAATATGTGATATTTTTTTTTGTTATAATGAATGTATTTAGAATGCACTGAAAGGAAAACATCACGGTGAACTGTACATGCAAATATTCTGCACAGTTAAAATTTTTTATACTGTTACCCGTCCTCATGCTTTTTCAACCATTGCTATGCAATGTTACCCAGAGAGTGTGGTTTGGTGATAGTACTTTTTATCAAATATTTTTCTAAAAACCAATCGAATTTGACTATTTAACATGAAAGTATAACAAGCCAAAATAAATAAGTTTGAAGTTTTTGTGGTCAGAACACAATAATCACATCAAATGATGAACTAAATGTCGATCACTTTAATTAATGCTGTATACTTTTTATCAAACTTCAGTTCATCACCGAGTTAACAGCATTTATCATGATGGCTTCATAGTTTAGATGTGTGTCACTATCTGAATATAAAACATGTGAATACAGCAAACTTTCTTCTTTATTAATCAACAAACTTTAAATAATCAAAAGTTAAAATATTGCTCTTAAAACATCTTTGATCATCTTATACATACTAAAAGCTGTACTTGGTGTATTGAATTTTTTACATCATGGCTTACAAAACAAAGAGGCCACTGGGTCACACATCTCACCTGAATCCAAATCAGTATCACCTAAACGATAATTTTATCTGATAATCACAAAAAAAAAAAAAAAAAAAAAAAAAAAACTGTTTAACAGTTACACAAAAAATTCAGTTCAGATCACTGCTACAAGTCATAGATCTAACTGAGCATTTAGAGGATAACTGACTAGGTTTAATGAACTTGCAGCCAGTTATATAAAAGACAAATGAAAGAATTCAATTGGAAGGCATGCTAAACATTTGAAAATTCTGTTCACTCCAAAACATTGCATTGCATCAATTCCAGTGTAGGAAAATATCAGAAAAATTTTAGTGATAGAAAGGAAACCTTCTACAAATGTCAAAAATGAATGACAAATCAAAAACCAACGTGGTTATCTTGGAATTTAAAGCTTCTGAAGACTAAAAAGTTAAATCATTAGCATCACCATATAATGAAAGTGTAATATTTCACGACATAGTATGAAGCTATTCTAGTTCAAGATGCCGAAAACTTAACCTCTGACAAACATTTCCACATATATACACGTTTCCATACAGAAGGCAGACAAATTTCAGTCAGAAAAGCTTCCTTGATCGTATGGCTGTGGTGAGCTTAAAAAAAATACAAAGAAATTTTAAAGAGTTCCTCTTCGCTACGTTTCAGCAGTTTTAGCTTCAGGTTGAGGCTCTGGATTTGACTCAGCTGGAGTTTCCTCTGTCTTCTCTATAGGTTCAGGCGGAGTTTCCTCTGACTTCTGTATGGGTTCATCTTTGTCTGTTGAAGCAGAAATGGCATCATCCTCTGTCTCTTCCTCCCTACTGGGTTCTGTGGGTGGGGATTTCTCATCAGACCCTGATGCTAAAGGTGAGGCATTTTCAGCCTGAGGTTTTAACTTGGCTGGAGAAGATTTGGGAGGAGTTGTGGAACTAGCCAACACTTTTGGTAATTCTTCATCTATATTGGATATATCTAAAATGATAAACATTTGCAGTTATGAAAAGGATCAGACGAGGGAATACAAATTCATCTCACCAATCTTACTTCCAATTTCACACTTAAAACACAGGACCTGACGTTATTTACTTTTTTTAAATAAAAAAAATATACCCCCACGTAAGTAATTCAGGTAGGGGGTATATTTTTTATTAAAAATAAAATAAATAATTTCAAGTGCCTGTAACTTAATGGTAAATGACAATTAATTTAAATTTTACTCAAAACTTTAACAGTAACTTGAGTAACATAATCATTGACGTATCAAGCAGCTTTTTCAAGCATTCTTTATGATCTTGTTCATGGCTTTTAAGCTATTATTAGAACCTTTTTTGAAACTTTTAAAGTCTGACCTATGTTGTGTGCCTCTGCTGCCTTTCTCCCAAGCCTCTCGGCTTGCATGGCTCTACACAGTGACTCAAGCTTCTGGATTTTATTGAGAAGCAATGGTTTCTCTTTGTCGTACAGTTGTTTCTACAAACATAAAAAAGACTCATTTTAAACAAAGAGTGTTTTAGTTGTATATAATGATTTGAAAAAAAATCTTTTTCATATTGTAATATCTAGGCTATACATGTATATTCTTTCCGAAGAAACTCAACAATTCCATGACCACTATGAAATACATGTACTAGTATAGCAATACAAAAATTCAAAAGCATGTATGCTAAATATCTAAGCAAGGTTTGACATTACATGTACATTTTTGACATTACAGTACAAAGGCAGTAGTTCAAAGGATTAATCAATATAGAAACAATCCAACTCTGTACTCCTGTCAAGATTTCACTTGCCCCTCTTCTCCCAGTGAACGGGCACTCAAAGTGCTTTTGAAATTTCCCTTTTTATTTAGGATTTTAACACTTTTGAGGAAAGTTCCTTTAAAAGTTGAAAAATCATCTACTTCAGCAGCACTTAAGATTACAAAGGTAGCATTGGCTCTCCAGTAATCATTCTGTATCTATCTGTTGGTGCATGTGTACTCACCTCCTCTGCCATTTCCAGTAACGCTTTATTGGCATTCTCCCATTTATTCTTCCAGGCTGCTCCATCTTTCTCCAATTTCTTGATTCTTTTTGTCATCTGCAAATCCAAAGGTCATTACAGTACACAACTGACAAGTCAGTACAAAAGAGGAATCATCATATTTTGCCTTAATTCCTGAAGGATATTACTTAATTCAAATTTTTCATATATTATCTTATGGGTTCTCCACTAGAAATGTAAATTGACTTTTTAAAGAAGAGTGCATAGTAAATAGAAAAAGATTTTTTTAACTTTCATAAATTTCAGAATGCATTGACTATATGGGAATACCTTTTCCATCTCTGTTTTAAATTTTTGGAACATATCATTGCTTCTATTAATGGTGGACTGAAACTCTTCATATCTTTCTTTATACATCGCTAGCTGTAAAGAGAATCATTTATAAGTATGTTATAAGTTCAATACAGTTATGTTATAAGTTCAATACAGTATATCTAGAACATTGGTATTTAATGCTATCACCAACTTTAAATTTGATGAAAATATCTGGATTTCTGTAGAAACAAAATGCATATATCATTTATGCAATCATAAAATAATCTTCTTCTACAGAGGAACTTGAAGTCATCTTGCGTCTAATTATAAAAGAACATAATTATGCACAAAATATAAGCCTATGAAGAAATTAACACCAATCAAAGATGGCCACCACTTACTTGAGTTTCTAACAGAGCTGCACGCTTGGCATTCTCTGCAGCCTAGACAACAGACAGAATACATTAATTATTATTAAAATTCTCGTACATACAATGGAGCCGCGTTTCTCCGTACACCAATAATACAGATGCTTGACCTTCTGAATGAACTTTTAACATATATACAGTGAAACCTGTCTAATCCGACAAGTACTGGGAGACAAATTTTGTGTCGGGATAGACAGGGTATAAAATTGCACGGTGTAAAAAAAAAAAACTTCAAAAATAAAAGAAATGGGAAAGAAATTTAACATCAGAATTCACAGTGTGATGGATTGCACAGGAGTCGGATTAGAATTATAAAAGGTCTGTTTTAGGAATTTTGTTGCTTCATTAATCGGCACGATTTGCTTGAGAACACAAGAGTCTGGATTAACCAGGCTCCACTGTATTCATTACAAATTCATTTGAACTATATAAACAAAGCTGCTGCACTCTTGGCATTCTGAGCAGACTGCACCAGAGACAGAATACATTAATCTAAAAAATCTACAACTTAATTAATTAAGTAAACATATACATGTACATATTCAGTTGAACTAAACAAAGTCAATTTGATTGTAATTTCTAACATTCATGGTTGTTTTTTTTTTCATTGATAGGTATAATTTTCAATGTACATATATATAGTGAATATTCAGTACACCCCCTCCTTTCCTCTTTACTTTACATAAGTACTTAATGTCGCGAAATGATGGGTACACATCAAAGCACAAGAATATGAATCCAGATTGAACTGATGATAAAAAGTTTTTCTCCTTTTATTTCAGAAATATAAGAATAAAAGCAAGTAATTTTATTTTGCTTGCATCTCACAAAATCATATGATAATAAATACCTTGCATATATTTTGGAATAAAAAAATATACACAAGTAAACAAAAACAACAAAAGAAAATGAGGTCCACAATAAAAAAAGTGAAGAAATCAATTAAATTTTGCAAGAAGAATTTACACAGAAATTCATCCAGGAATCATTATGAAATTTAGAAGGCCTGGGGAAGAATAGTACCTTGTACTAAGTGGGCTACCTTCTCTAAATAAAGCATTATTATAATATTATTATATTTTCATTATTATTATCACCATATACTGAAAGAACTTATTAACCTTTTTTAATTTTTGTTCATTTCACAAACATCATTAAGTCAGTCAGTTTAAACTGATCTTATTTTTGATAAGGTACAAGGTTCTACCTGAAGGAGATTCAAGACAACCTCTTATCCTGTTGACAGTTGCTGTTTAAGTCATCCAATATAAATTATGCTCTTCACTACACTGACAATGCTTACCACTAAATGCTCCTTTCTACACTTCTCCTGCTCCTCTGCTAGGTAAGCATTAGCCTGCTCCAGCTTAGCGTCTGCTAACTTCTGCTCCAGCTCTCTATGCTGCATCACCTTCTCCACTTGCTGCAATTGGGAAAAAAAAAGTTTATTAGATGAACCAATTTTTTTTATTCCAAATTGACTGCCATGCATTTTACCTAATTTCTTTTTGAACATATGATAGTAGGATGTGTCTCAGAGAAAGGGAAGAAAAGATATTATGTGTAATAATGAACTATTTAATGAGTTGTGTTGGGAATGGGGGGGGGGGGGGGGGGGGGAGAAGATGGTATCCCGTATAGCAATATCAGTATAAACGTTCATTATTCTTGTTATTAGCAAGGCTATCTGAATGATATCATTGTGGATTATGTCCTGATGGAAAATTGCATTAAATATCTTTGCTTTAAAAACAATTTGGAATGAAGTGGGCATTAAGTGTGAAACTTGAGAAATAATGTTTTGTATGAAAAGAAAAAAACATTCTCACTTTAAAGAGTAATTGGCCAGAAATGTTGTCTGAAATTTGTTAAAAAGTCCATTTTGCATCTTAAAAAATGAGTATTGGTCAGTACTTGTTTATCTATGAATTTGACAATAATAAGCTATAAAATCCATTATATAACTTATATGTAAATCATAAAATATGCTATTATTGTAACAAGATTATTAATTTATAAAGGATTTTCCCCCACTTTATAAGCCCCTATACATTTAGTCAGATGCTGTTTTGTCTTTCTATTTGGCTTTCACTTTATTAATGCAACAAAGCACCTCTGCTTTAAAAGAAATCTGAAAATTCCAAAGACTACAAAAACAAAGCATTTAAGGACTGGGCTATCAAAAAAATAAATAAATAAATAAATAATGAAATAAAATAAATAAAAATCAAAAACAAGATTCCAATATCTGCTGTTAGATGTTTATGAGGAAAAGCATTACTTACACTAAAATTCACGATAAATACCAAGAATTAAATATCCCAAGTTATTCATTTCCATATAATGAATTGATCTGACAAAAATTCCTAACACCACTTCAATTCCTAGATCTTTTTGTTGCTTTCCCCCTGTATTTATTTGCTTTGAAATGCATACTTCACCTTTCTTTATAGCTCTTTTTTTCTTCATCAGATAACAGACAACAGCTGCTTTCAATTATTTGTTTTAAATTGTGATAAGTATCACTGAGGGAACAAAATACCATACTTATCCTAATCAGCGACCCCTGGGTGCCGTTACCTATCATGTATATTGATGTAATAGGGTGCAAAGAAGCCATGAAAATGTTTCTCACTTTTTAAGTCGATATTAATCTTCACATTATTACATGCAACTTAGGTCCAATTACAAACCCTGCACTAACAGTTCCAATCATCAATTACAAACAAATTGAATTGTATAATTTTTTTCATAAAATGTGTGTTCTTTTAAAATGAAACTGATATTTAAAAAAAAAATTACTGAACCAGCTATGAAACAAAATTTTTTTTCTTAAAGTGAAAGGGCATAGATTAGGATCAGCTTGGTAATTTTAGAACATCAAAGGCTATAAATACATGTAGGTTGTGGAAGTTCAGCAGGTAAATTTCACTTAAATCTGAGAGTACAGCTTTTGAGTTGGAATGCTGTTAAGAATGCCTATTTTAAACCAGAATTATGAATCTTAGCTCCAGAAAATAGATCTATTTATTTATTTAAGCATTTCAACAATGTCTGTTTGGCAAGAAGATATCAAAACATCCTAATAAACCTTTAAGGTGCAGGCAACAACAATTAAGTTTTTATATGTACAACGTGAAACTTTGAGGGTTTTTTTTAAATTGAAAAAAAAAAAAAATCTTTACAACAATTAAGTTTTTATATGTACAACATGAAATTTTGGGGGTTTTTTTTAAATTGAAAAAAAAAAAAAAATCTTTACAACAATTAAGTTTTTATATGTACAACATGAAATTTTGCTTTTCAAATTTATAAAAGAAAACAAAATCTTTATAACATGCTTATCACTTTAACAAAATGACTTGGGAATAAATAATAATAATTCAAGTTAATAAGCATGATATTAAAGATGATACAATATAACTCCCCTCTTTAGGTTAATTTATTATTCCCTCTTAAAGTCAAGTACAGCCTGTAGCTCTTAGAAAAATTCAACAGAAAAAAAATACCTGACAAGCAAATTTCTATTTTTTATCCTATTGTAGTGATTCTGACAAGCATAAAATTACCTCCTACATATCTGTAAAGGGGAAATGGAAAAGGAGTTATAATTCAGTAGATTGCTATACATGTAGGTATACCTAGATCAAAGAATGCACAAGCTTAAGAAGAATGTTTACATATATATTGTACACAGGGAAAATTTTGTCCCCGTTTTATTTTCACCCTTCTCGCCCTAATCACAGGTGGGCAAATTTAAAACAGCATGAATTCAAAGAACACAGTATAATTTTTTAAATAGAACTGTGACAGGGTGAATTTAAAATGGGGCAAAATTGTTTGCAAGTGTGAAAGGGTGGAAATAACATGGGGCAAAAATATCCCATTTTGCAATAATTCTGGTTTGAATTGTATTAAAACAAATTTCGTGCAAGACAAAAGTATTTTCTTTCAAGTTTCATCACTTATTACTGTTTAGTGTGTGATGATTCAGGTTCATCTAATAATGCATATTCATGTTCTAATAATGCATATTCATGTTCTAATAATGCATATTCTTTGTTTTTATTTCATATATATCAAAATTAATGAGAATTTTGTGCGAAAAGTCCCATTGACCATAATTTTAATTTTAATCACAAGTCAAAATATGAAAAATTATGGACTAGCTATCATTTTAAAAGACAATTAATTTATATATATATATATACATGTACTAGTAAGATAATGAAACCAGGATCAGTTTAAATCTATACTTTAAATTTTCTTTTATCTTTTATTTATCAAAGATAGTATAACTTTTGTACACTGGTACATATGTTATATAAAGGATTTACATATTTTAAAAGGTTAATTTAGCAAAATGCATACATGTTCAGAATAGGAATAGGGAGGGGAATCTAATCTGACACCTACTCTCCTAGCCCTAATAGGAAACTACAGGTACTGTGGGCACTGAGCTCACAAAATGATATCCACCACTCCCATATGAGTATAATGGCAAAGTGTATTTATTGGAAGTATGTAAATGTGATTCTGTAAAAGTTCTGTTGAATTTCATTCAAGGGTTTAGGAGGAATTTCATTAACAAAATGGGTACCCCCTTTATTGAACATAACGGCAAAGTCTGTGTTTTGATAAACTTTATTCAGTGGTACAGGAGGAGCTGCAGATACGAACGGGAACCCCAGTGTTAAATAAAGAATGGCAAAGTCCATGTTCTGCTGTGGGAAACCTTAAATATCTTTCCCATTGAAATGTAAATTAGGAGGTGCACAATGGCACCATTAATAAAGGTTCTATGAAAATTTCATTAAATGGCATAATGTAAGAGGAGTTGCAGATCTGTGATGGCTACCCCCAAGTGTACCAAGAATGGCAGTGTCCATGCTTTGCTATGGGAATCCCCAAATATCTGTCCAATTGAAACATAAAACAGAAGGTGCACAATAGCACTATGTAATGAAGATTCTGTGAAAGTCTCATTTTTATTCTGTGGTATAGGATGAGTTGCAGATATGAGATGGGTACCCTCAATATTATAGAAAGAAGGGCAGTGTCCATGTTTTGCTATGGGAAACCCCCAAATATGTGTCTAATTGAAATCAGATATGCATAATGCCACTATGTAATAAAAATTTCATGAAAGTTTCATTAAATTGCATTCAGTAGTGTAAGAGGAGTTGTGAATAAGGGATGACTACCCCCCCCCCCCCAATTCAAGTGTAATGAATGGACGTACAGATGGACATCCCCATCACTAAATACCCCCTTTTTTAAGTGGTATATTAAACAAGATCTCATACAAATAACTGTTGACTATCTATTTACATTATAGGGATTTGATAAAGAAAATAAGCATTTGTCAAAGAAATGCAATCCAATTTACTGGTGCAAAAAACTTCATTCAAAGAGCAATAACCAGTCAGGGGTGCTACTTATAACAAGTAATAAAATATCACTTTAATGAGTAATCATCTAGTACTGCAAAGAGTTACTTCCCTGAAAACATTATTGAAATGGATAATCTTTTGAAGTAGGTAATAACATATCCAATAACTGCCTTAGTTTGAAATGAAAGGAGTACTCTTTTTTCGAATTATCAACCAAACAAAACGATGTCCAACTTGTGGAGAAAGCTTCATGTTAACAGCAAAAAAATGTCCAACTTAAAATAAAAACTGGATTTGAACATGAAAATGTTTATGATAAAAAGAAAAAGTAGGTCAGGATTAGTCAGATTTCCACTAATTTTTTAGCGATCTCTTCAAACTGGTGTGTTTCCTTCGACATAAGTGGTTTTGTTTATGTCAAGTAGGAAGAATTAAGTCTAGCACAAACTATAGTAATTACGAACTTTTTCGTGGTAAAGTAAAACAGAATAAATGTTTTATGTACAAAATTTTTGACTTATCATGTTTTTGGGAAGTGAAAAAAATACTGATTTAAATAATTGTTTTCATTACTTGTTCAAGAAACACCCCTGCCTGATAACACCTTTTTTGTAACAGATAAAAAAAATAATAAGATTGTAACAATAATCAAGTACCCACCTTCTCTCGGACCTCGTACTGTTCAATGAACTTTTTGAGTTTGCCGGCCAGTTCCTGGTTTTCCTCTCGCAGCTTCAGATTTCTGTCATGATGGTCCGTCATCTGTTGCTGAATCTCCGAAATGGTGGACTAAACAAAATTATTCTTAGAAAATTAAATCTCAAATCAATAATGCATCTAAATTAAATGTTGCCCAAAGAAAATGCTCTTTTGTTAAATGAAATTAAATCAAATTTTTACTTTATCATAAAGTTTTCTACACTATTATATTATTCCTGGTTTCTAACACCTAGTTTGGAAATCTTAACAATTTAATAAAACTGTAATCTTTGAAACCCAAACCTGAAATTTATTTGATATCTCTTTTCTCTTTTCATCCTCTTCTCTTGCTCTTTGTAAACTTTCTTGCTGTAAATTAAAAAAAATAAATAAATTTTCTCATATTGTATACTTTTAAATTGATTACTGATAATTTAGTAACTACGTTACAGATTTATTTGCCCTAATGCCAAAGTAATATTACCATATATACTCACCTATAAGTCGGTTCGCTTGTAAGTCGGTTGTATTTTATAAGTTTAAATTAGAGGGAGGGACCTGCTAAAATACCGATCTTTTTATAAATCGCGTATAAGTCGGATAAAGAGTTTTCGACCAAAGTTTAACTCCCAAAAAAAACGACTTATACATGTAGGTGAGTATATAAGGTATTTAATATTGAGGCATGTAATGTTTTGGGTTTAAAATATTTTCAAAAGTAGGACGTTTGAAAGACCCAAACCTAAACTTTTAGAGTAACCTACCCTGATGACCTGATTATGTTTCTGTAATTCACGACAGAGTCCCTCTAGTTTACTCTTAGCCATCACTGCCTTGGTGTGTTCTGTTTGCAGCTGGTCTTTTTCCCTTGTTACCTAAAAAGAAAAAAAGGGCTTTCTTATGTTAAAAAATCTTCAACATAAGATATAATTTATTATGGCATTCTGAGAAAACAAGAAGCATTGAAATACATGTATGTTCTGCAATGAATAGAATAATAATCTGTAAAAAAAAAAAAAATAATAATAAAAAAAATTGATGTAGTTCATTTCAGTGCTTACACTTCTGGAAATATTTCCAACTCAATATTCATTATATTTTTCAATGAGAGAAGAATTCTTGAATAATATACTTGTCTTCTTGACTTGGACTGATAAAAGAAATACAGATAGAAAACGAGTCATGACTGTGACTCTAAATATCATTGGGAGCTTTACCATAGCTAACTTCCTCTGATGTTGTTTATGTGTACTCTGTAAAACCCTATGCTCTTCATGTAAATCTGCATATTTTTTACAAAGAGCTGCCAGTTTTTCCTCTGTTGTCTGTAAACTGCTTAAAGCCCTTAATATGTGATCTGAAAATAAAGTATGAAATACATACACATTAATGTTATTCCATAGTATGATATTATTACAATCTGTGGTAAACATAAGGAAATCTTTGATTGATGATTCATTCATTAGTTTATATTTTTTTTTATTTTCAACATTAAAAAACCCCACTCTTTATTAAATTCAAAAGTTATACTGATCAAATCTTTGCAGTACATAGAAATATAGTCATTTTCCTGTCATAACACTGTACAAATCTACCTATGGTTTTGTCTTCTTTCTTTTTACTTTTCCCAGTCTTTTCTTCCTTCTTATCCCCTTTTTCCTGTTTATCTCCCCCCTTTTCCTCATGCTTATCCCCATTAACAATCCCAGCATCCTTAAGTGCTTCCTCCAAAGCCTCAGATCCAGAGCTACCATGCATGGAACCATCAGAGTCAGGAGTTGCTTCTCTTTCAGCAGGTGCTTGGATCTGCTCCACCAATGATGAGAGTACTTCTGAGTTCGGAGCAGCATGTTCAGACTTTGTAGCCATATTGACTGATACCTGTTCCACAACTAATTTATCTGTCAATGGAAAAATATCTAAATGCTCACATCTTTTCAAATCAGATTTTAAAACAACAATGCTTGAAACCTATGTGGATTGAAGCAAATGTTTATTAAATATTATATTGGTCAACAATACCAGAGATGAGGTCATACCTGCTTTTTCCATAATGTTTGTCAGTGTCAAATTAATTGCTTCTAGAAGTTTGTCCTTTTCAGTAGAAGGGCTGTCTTTCCTCTCAGTTACTTCCCCTTTCCCTGTCTTCACTTCTTGTTCTTTAACTTCCTGTTTTGGTAAAGATACAGTTTCCTTTTCTTCCTCTTTACTGACTTTACTTGGATCACCTGAAGGCTTAAATGTCTCCTTGACAAAAGTTGGTTCTAATTGTGTATTTGAACTTTCAACACAGGTAAATAGATCAGGAATTGACTTGGGTTTCTTGGTAACAACTTTTGTATTGTCTAACTTTAGTTCCCTTTCAGTAAATGAGATTGGCTGCTCAGAACTACCTAGTACACTATCTGTTGTCGGTTCTAGTATAGGCTCTCTTGGTAGGAGAGGTGTGTTAGTTTTACTTTCAGTTTGAGAGATAGACTCTCCTTCAAAGCCTAACAAAAGACTCTCTTCCTCAGCAGCAATGGGAGCTGTGCTCTCCTCCTCTTCTACAGCTAAGACAGTACTTTCCTCCTTTTCTGAGATTGATACACAACTTCCCTCTTTCTCTAAGATGGGGGTGGTAGACCTCACAAACTTGGGCTGTTCAGTCTGGACTTTTTTCAATGGCAAGGATTCTACTTCTTCAACAGGTTCAGAAGTCTACAAATACAATTTCAACATATTTAATATATAATATTTTTCATCTACATAATTTATTTCAAATACTCCATAGAATCCAATTTGAAAGTAATAAGGAATACTAAAACGTAATTATACATTGTATGCCTTTCTGATTACAAAGTCAAAGAATGATTCATTAAGATTATTAGGCTATATTTATATAGTTCAAAATTAGAACAATCCATTTGAAATAAATCCTTCCCCATTTTTTACTACGGCAATTTTTGTGTCACTCAATAGGTACCTGATATAAGAAAATGTAAGCATCAAACATGCCTAACATATGAACACTCTACTCCATAGCTATGTCAGCTGGGGTTCTGTACATGGCTCATAGGTAACCTGTGCTTTACTACAATGACTTGACATGATGAGCTATGGTATGCTTTCCTCATGTCTTCACCAGAGTGTGCAATGTACAATACTGACAACACACTATCATCGTATTTATATCTTAACCAGAGTGAAGGGTATGACTTTTGTGTCTACCACGTGTATGAGAAGATTCGCATGCACGTGTGCAAGAAAATTATTTAACCACTTATTAATATATGATATGTTTTAAAAAAGCATAAAACTACCAATGAATGGTAATCAGTCATATATGCACAAACATATTTATTTCAACAATTTTTCTATAAACTGCCCTGTTTGTGTGCATTATTTGAACACAAATTTTGTGATACATCATACACTTGAACCAAATACTTGATGAACACAAAATATTTAACATCAAGTTCTTGCAGTCAAATATATGCCCATCTTTAATTTTAGTTTATGATGGATGATCTAATAATCCATCTTTTAAAAAATAATTTTGAGAGATAATTCACTTAGGATCCTTTATCCCCTACCTCACCCATATCAAATTTACAACAATGAACATATTCTATTGTGACAGAAGTCCATACTCATATCTATAGACAGATAATCAATGAGTATCATATTTTGTTATATGACCCCTTCTATATGGCTTTTCTCAAATTGAATGCTCTTTGCCAAATTTCAAAACAGTAAACACCCCAATTCATTTTTCTTTCAAAATTTTCTCTTTCACATATCCTCGTAAACTGTAAAACATCCAATACTTTACTTTCTTGACTGCAGTCCAACAGTGGGAGAAGCTTCATGCTAGTACTCCACTGATAAACATTCAGAACAAAAAAAATAAAATCCAAACCTGTAGTTTTTGGAATTTTCTCTTAGATCCACATAGACAACAACAGAGTGATCTAAAGCCAAAGGAAGCCATCAGATAGAAACCCGTTCTGTCACCATGGTCACCAGACCAGGGGGCTTGGAGCAGCAGGGGGACCGAGGAAGGAAATCATAGAACAGTAACAGAGGCTTCAGGGCAGTGAACTACCGACACATAACCTCAGGCAATACAGTATCTCCTTCTTAAACAATCGGTAATATCAATCTCCACATATAAATCAGATCAACAACTTTTTTCTGGTTGTGTACAGTTTGCCAAGGAATCAGATATATCACCACTTCTTTCTTAGAATGTGCACTGAATAACTGAAAGTAGGTGATAACAATGTGCGTAGTAAAGTGTTCTCTAGGAAAGTCACTAAGCATACCCTTTCTTTACCATCAGGATTAACGAGCATTTAATATGGAATGTATCTCAATACTCTTTCTTAAGGAAGAGGAATTATTTAGCTGTTGGGGTATTATGACTTGCAGTGTCTTTGTATCACAATTTCCATTGCTTGTACATCTGTATCAAACCAGATGATCGACACACAATTCTCTTATTTGCAGTAATGAACTGGCAGCACATGATAGTAATTAGTGATTGTAAAATCAGCCATTACAATGTTGTCTAGACCTCAGGCAAATAAAGGCATTGATTAAGTCATCATCTTAACACCAACTCCCTACTCCATAATTACAAATAAAACTATTAACCTTCTTACACATTCATAAGACCTCCTCTAGATATTAAATTAGAACAGTCTATTTCATCTTTATCATCAATGACCCCATGAAAAACCTTTTTTTACTGCATTACCAGATTAAGAAAATCAATTTGGTTCTAACTTTGATACCTTCATCATAAATGTCATGTTGGCTAACCACTTCAGAAGCTGTGTCTTCTAATAATGTCTCAAGTTGAAAATAAATAGTAATCTAAATTAAGCTAATTAACTGTATGGGGGTAAAAATATCCAATTGTAAATGATACTAATGAACAGATGGACAAAATCATTCACCATAAACCTCCAATTCAAAATACCTTATAACTTGGATTCTGTGACCTTGCAATAAAGCATCAGCAAACAATATACAGTGTATATTAGTGCTTGTTATGGCATAAGAAAGTAATCTTACAGATACCTTAGCCAGACTGTTACATAATGTATGTTAAACCCCCTGTTGTCTTGGGATTCTGTTTCAGAGCCCCACCAGCTGGATAGAGACATATGGCAAAATAGCAAAAACTTAATATGAGCATTATTGAAGATGACCATGCTGTACATGATCTTAGGATACAAAATCTTGATGCTAGGCTTCAATGATATTTAGATTTTATGAATAAATTTCAATTTCAATTTTATAAAATATTAAATGAACATATTGTTTCAATTGTATAAGTATTTGAATTTTGGCTTTTTCAAAGCCTTATTGGTATAACTTATATGCAAAATTTATATGGATATATGCATATATCTATACATAAATCATGCATTTAAAATAATACGAATAGACATAATAGAAGGACCTAAATAAAATAAAAGAATAATCCCTACAGATCTAACATAGACAAAAATTCCAGGTTAATTTTGATCATACTTTATCACAAGATGACCACACACTGGTTGTGACAGGACAATATTGGGTAAGTTGGCATGGTAACCAGTTCATCGCTGCGGTAACAGTCTTTCTTAATTGCTACAACACTCATCACACAGTCATCCTATCAGAAACATTCTTTTGTTTTTCTCAGCATAACACTGACAGCAAGTCAAAATGCACCTGCCTCAGAACCAGGAATTCGTGGAAAATGGAAGCACACTTCACATGTAACGCTGTCCTAACTGACACAGTTATTGAAATTTTCTATTATTTCCAACCATGATTTAGCTCAAATAAAGATCCACAGCAGAAAATATTAAAATATATTTACAACTACTCCTAGCTTACTGAATGAAACAAATCCTATATAATGTTTTTTAACAATCAACAGTTGGATGGAACTTTTCTTGAATAATGAAACAAGAAATATGCCTGCATGATGCAGTATGATTTTTTATCTCTCGTTGGTGTTCTGAATTTGATGGGTGCGATAATCTTAGTCATCAGAACATATGTGATGGAAGATAATGCAGAATTCCTCTACTTGTTTAGAATGAAAATAATTAAGTTATTATCATAATCATTGCCTGAACTCAGTTGCATTGCAGACTTTCCTCTACAAGTGACCTACGTCTATGAGTTAAGAACCTACTACATGTTTAATTTCTAATATTGTACCATAGCACATAAATAACTCTATTAGACTAAATACATGGACAAGATGATGCAGATCAATCTTAATAATTACATACAATTAACATGTCAATTATTCAATAGACTCTGCTTTATATCTATCTGAACATCCATTTTTTCGTTCTGATCTGCCCACACTAAAACGAATCTTCCCGATTCGGAAGCACTGATGTTCAGGGTCACATACCAACAAAAGGTCTTAGACCATTGAACATTATTATCATGAAATCACAACCTTAATTAAGGGTTATCAAAACCACAAACAAGAAATTCTAGCATAGCACTACTCAAAAATCTAAAAAAAAAAAAAAAAAAAAAAAAAAAATCATTCAATCCTACTGCATTTTATTTTGAATGTACAAATATACTGATATCGATACAAAAGTTAACAGGTTTCAGCTATTAATCCACAGGATAATATCAATTATTGAAAAAAAAAATACATGCTTTGTTCCTGCAAAATGATATAAATAATAAAAGTTACTAATAATTGCTAATAGCTACTAATTTGGGATTTGTATTCAAACATTTTACCTCACCTCTTAATTCAACTTCCCTCGAGTGCTTCATTTGGTAAATTGAATGCAGGTGTACATGTACTTAATTAATGAACACATACAATGTATGCTTTGAAATGTGTCTCTTGGGCAGAACACTGCTCTGACAAAATATCCTTAAGCAACTTGTTAATGTAAGTCACACCCATCTTTTTTTTTTTCCTTGAACATATGTTAGCTGTGTTATTGAAAGTAATAATGATGTATTTATAACAGCTAGGTCTGTAATTAATTAATAAGATCAATTAAGGCTTTGATGTTGACAACTAAATTTCAAAGAGGATCAACACCATCTTTTAACCCTAATGCAATATAAATGAGAGAAACACATATTTTTAGGTTGAATTATACATTTGTTAATTAATACTCCTAAAGATGAAAAAATCAAGGTTAATGATTAGATGCCAGTAACTGAATTTTTATATTTTAACAGGCAGATCACTTGTGTTTTATGTATATACATATATATATATAAGTGAACATGGTGAATAGAATCATTCTTAAATGTCTGTATATGCTATACAGTAAATGAAAATTAACGTATTTCAAACTAAGATTATGGAAAACTTCAAGTTTTCATATGAGTCCACTAAATTCATACAAAATTACAATCATTTCAGGGCTTTTAAAAAGAATATAGAAACAGGAGGTATTTTTTACAAAAATAGGAGGTACCTTGTGGATGCAATTTTAATTAAATTATGTTAATGAATTTTTCTCAATTGAATATTTTGGCTGGTACAATCATGATTTCAGCTGGGTAAAAGTACCAAGCACCAGCAGATTTTGAAAGATCTGATCATTCTGTCATATCAAAGTGTATTTCTATTACAATTTTACTTAAAGAATAAAATGTGCCAGAACTTGAGGAATCTTTCTGTAGAATCGTTTTTTTTTATTATTTGATATGGTTTCATTTCATTGAAGAGGAAAGACTGTGTACATCTGGAGCGTACTAAGCCTGACATACACTTTTGCTGATGATTGGGGTAGACTTTACTTTACCGGTCCCCAGATCCGCAAGATCCGCGCGCTCATTGCACTATGACGTAAGATTTACGTCACTCAACTGATTAGGGTTGGTTTTGCACATTTTTCGACTGGTTAGGGTTAGTCTTGCACCCACCTGAAAGATTAGGGTTAGTCCTTGCATAAGTTTTCGACTGATTAGGGTTAGTCTCGCATATATCCGAGAGATTAGGGTTAGTCCTCGCACATGGGTTAGTCTAGCATGGTCTAGCATCCGCCTGGGAGATTTGGGTTAGTCCTCGCATACCATCCGAGAGATTAGGGTTAGTGTCTTGTTCTTTTAGATTAATTAAGAAATTCAGTTGCATCTGTATTTTTTGCAAGATCTTAATTCAGCTTCAACGACATCTCGTTGGTTTGTTTACATGAAAAAAATGGCTAAGTACGAAAGAAACGGCACTAAGCATGCGCCGCACGCGCTTCGTTCACAATTATTTTTTTGTCTCCTTTTCACTGAATAAACAACATTTATTACTTTTTTTTCAGAAAACGAGGTTAAAAACTTCGTTTATAAACGAAGTTTTAAACTAAACTTTTAACCGTAGAATTCGAATGTGGGGTCAAAAAGGCTTAAAACCTCATATTTTTTATTTTTTTCGATCGCTCACGCGATCTCATATATATTGAAGTCGCCTACGGCGACACTATATTTTAGCGCGTTTTTCTGGGGACCGGTAAAGTAAAGTCGTTCCGATGATTGAATGTTGAACAAAGTGAAAGCAGGCTGAAAACATAAATATTTATTTTGCCAATTTATGATTTAAAGATTTTATAAATCAGTTATTACAAATAAAGCATCATAGTAGTAAAACACCATAAAATACCTCAGATGAATTGAGATAATGGCATCTGGATTCTGTTTATCATACACACGAATGTGACATGTCTGTGCATGATCAATATAAAAATAGCAAAAGTGTTTTATTAATATTAAAAAACATAGTTTAGATCAAATAAATAGCAATGCAATAGACTGATGTTGACTACCAATAAAAATGCGACTATCTAAATGTTTATTTTTACGCCAGATGTTTTGAACTTGACTTGAAATAGAATATGTATGGCTTTGGCATGTTTGAGAAGGAAAAGCTCGGGTTAAATACAGGGGCTAAAAACAAGAAATCAACGAGGGACTTTGTCTTCAAGTTTTCAGTTCTCTAAAGTATACATTAAATAATGTGATGATTGTTAAATAACGTCAAAATATGAGGCCGTTTCCTTGTGAAACACCTAAAACTTACCACAAGTTTTCCGAAATTGCTAGGCTGTGGTGGCTGCCATGTTATGACGTCACTACATGCATATATGGTAAAGTCTGAAAATGTACCGAAATCTCTCTGACATACATTCGAATCACCTCTAGATTTTTCATAGACGAAGAGCACGTCATGCAACATGGCTGAAACTGCAGAGAAGTCAAAGAGCAACCCGAATTCTGTCAAAGAAATATTTAAAACGATGAGCTATGGACCTGCTCCAGAAGCAGACAATGTTGTGAAGGTTTGTTTATTTCATTTGTTTACAAATGACAAATGCAAAATTTAAGACTATAGAACACGAAGACAAGGTCTGGACTTGCCGTCCTGCAGAAAGAGCATGTAAGATACATGAGATAAGGAATATAATCTTTAAGATATATATGCACTGTCTTTGTTTTTCATATTAAATATGACAAACTGTGCATTCCATGATATCTAACGCATTTCGTGGAAAAGCGACATTTACATGTACAGTGTCAGGGAATGGTTTTATCATTGAAATGGGAAACCTGCCAAGTAAAGAAACGTTCAAAGGTTTCTAATTATTTATTATGAATAAAAAACATACATTACACCTTATTGTCTTTGTAAATGCTCACCTATTTTCAAGGTAATCTGCCATGTAAAAGTTATAAGGTTTAAAAAGAATTCTCCTATTAGGAAAGTTCATTGTCAGACAAAACTATGGTCATGGTCTCATTTCTCCTAGGTAGTGAAGTGAGACTCAGAGGGACTGTGAGTTTCCAATGATGAGGAAAGCTATGTTTATCCCTTAATATCTTTAAGTATCTATGTAGTCAATATTAGTAAAAGTATATAACGACCAATAAGAAGATTGTACCTGGCATGCTTTTGCCCCTTTTGCAGTTTTTAAATCTGGTCCAAAATTACTGTATCTTTAATTACTAATCAGCATATATTTTAACAGGCTTGGTTAGATGACCATGGTAAAGACTTTGGACTTTTTATTGATGGGAAATGGGTGAAACCAGATGGCAGGAAGAAATATTTAACAAAGAACCCTGCAACTGGTTAGTATGAGACAATGCTAGAAACAAAAAAAAACTTCAGTGTAATAAATAAGTTTATCATTCAGAGAAAATAAAATGACTTAAATTAATAGGTGAAGAGTTGGCATGGACCACTCAGGCAGAGAAGCCAGATGTAGACCTGGCTGTCAAAGCTGCTGAGAAAGCCTACCAAAGCTGGAGCAAGACTTCCCCCCATGTCAGAGCTAGGCACCTCTATAGGTAAGTCAAGTAATGTTTTCCTTCCAAAGGTAATTAGATTGGAAAACATACATTTCAATGGCTAACATTTTTAGATTCTAATGTTGTGATGTATAGCATTTATATTTTAAGTAAATTTCAGCATTGCCAGACATATCCAGAAGCACATGCGTTTATTCAGTGTCCTTGAGGCTATGGATAATGGTAAAACTATCCGAGAGACCAGAGATGCTGATATTCCTATAGTGGTCAGACATTTCTATCATCATGCAGGCTGGGCCCAGTTGATGGACACAGAAATGAGAGGATGGAAATCTGTTGGTAAGAAGTTTGTGTCCCTAGCCTTTTGTCCTTCATTTTGAGCTCAGTATATCTACATGTTGTACTTTGTTTGTTGCTGGAATTCTTGAATAAGAATGTTGGGTTTTTTTTTTTTTGAAACAGAAGGAAGGAAATAAATAATGCTATGTACATGCTTATAGATGGAGAGCAGGAGAATTTAGATTACTTCCCTTAACAGACTATGCATCTGTTATTATAATTTTTGAAACTGACTCTGCATCCATCGAGTAACATTTAAGGAGGAATATTAATGCTTGCTTGGTTTAATTTTCATGGATTGAAAAGATTAACTTTTTAGCTCACCTGAGCTGAAAGCTCAAGTGAGCTTTTCTGATCACCCGTTGTCCGTCCGTCCGTCCGTCTGTCCGTCCGTCTATAAACTTTTCACATTTTCAACTTCTTCTCAAGAACCACTGGGCCAATTTTAACCAAACTTGGTACAAAGTATCCTTGGGTGAAGGGGAGTGTATTTTGCTAAAATAAAGGGCGACTTCCCCTTACAAGGGGAGATAATCAAGAAAAGACAAAAATAGGGTGGGGTCATTAAAAAATCTTCTTCTCAAGAACCACTAGGCCAGAAAAGCTGAAACTTATGTGAAAACATCCTGGGATAGTGTAAATTCTAAATTGTTAAAATCATGACCCCTGGGGGTAGGGCAATAGGGAATCCAAGTTTTACATTGAAATATATAAGAAAAATCTTTAAAAATCTTCTTCTCAAGAACCACTGGGCCAGAAAAGCTGAAACTTATATGGAAGCATCCTGGGGTATTGTAGAATCTAAATTGTTCAAATCATGATCCCTGGGGGTTGGGCGGGGCCACAATAGGGAATCCAAGTTTTACATTGAAATATATAAGAAAAATCTTTAAAAATCTTCTTCTCAAGAACCACTGGGCCAGAAATACTGAAACTTATATGGAAGCATCCTGGGGTAGTGTAGAATCTAAATTCTTCAAATCATGACCCCCGGGGTAGGGCAGGGCCACAATAGGGAATCCAATTTTTTCATTGAAATATATAGGAAAAAAATTTAATAAATCTTCTTCTCAAGAACCACTGGGCCAGAAAAGCTGAAACTTAAGTGGAAGCATCCATTGTTCAAATCATGACCCTCAGGGGTAGGGCGGGACACAATAGAGAATCCAAGTTTTACATTGAATTATATAAGAAAAATCTTTAAAATTATTCTTTTCAAGAACCACTGGACCAATAAAGCTGAAACTTATTTGGAAGTATCCTGAGGTAGTGTAGATTCTAAATTGTTCAAATCATGACCCCCGGGGGTAGGGCGGGGCCACAATAGGTATTACAAGGGGGGAAGTCTTGTAATGAACAGCATGGCCAAAGTTACTCAGGTGAGCGATGTGGCCCATGGGCCTCTTGTTTCTATTTATGCTCAGATGCATTTATATTTAATATGCTATAAACATTGTAGGTGTAATTGGTGCCATTGTACCTTGGAACTTCCCATTAATGTTGCTGACGTGGAAGATTGCCCCAGCCCTGGCCATGGGTAACACAGTTATACTAAAACCCGCTACATATACTCGCCTCTCTGCTCTCCTATTGGCTGAAGTTTGTGCAGAGGCGGGTCTTCCACATGGTGTCTTCAATGTTGTCACCGGTAGTGGTGCTATGGGCAGTATGTTAGCTGACCATCCAGCTGTGGACAAAGTGGCCTTTACTGGGTCAACAGGGGTTAGTTTAATATACAGTTGAACTTCAGTATCTCGAACACTGATATATTGAATACCATTGATATGTGGAAGTGATTTGGAAGTCCCAACCTCTTATTCTTTAAGTATTTTACCCTGAATATCTCGAATCCTCGTATATCTGGAAGTTTTTTCTCGGTCCCATAGAGTTTGAAATAATGAGGTTTGACTGTGGCTCTGTAAAATGTATCTTTACGTAGCATGAAGGTGAAAAGCTTAGTTTATGCAAATCTTGGGTATTACTTTTTTATGAATTGCATAAATCCTTCTAAAGTATTGTTCAATTTACGTTTAACCTATAAGGTATTTACTAGCTGCTTTTAAAAGAAAGTGAAATTAAAATTTAAGAGAATTTTAAGATGTTTTAAATTTAGGAAGAAGAAAAAGATGAATCTCTAGACTACTCAAAGGTCACCTCTCTATAAAGGCCACTTCTAATGATTCCTGCAGGTGACTGCTTAATACAGGATTGACTGTATTAACAACTATGAATGACTAAATTTGTTTCTTATTTTGAAATTCTTCTAAAGGTGGGACAGACTCTGCGTCGCCTAACAGCTGGAAGTGGTAAGAAGCTGTCCCTGGAGCTGGGAGGGAAATCTCCAGTGGTGGTGTTTGAGTCGGCAGATTTAGATAGTGCTGTGGAAGGAGTGGTGGATGCCATCTGGTTTAACCAGGGACAGGTGAGGAGTAAAAACAGAGGAAGTACTATGAATGTGTATCTTTCATTATGCTTTTTTGTGTTCAGCTGCAGTAGACTAATATGTTGGAAATTTTGTAATATACAGTTAAACCTTTGCAGTATTTTGGAATTGAATGATACAAAAAAAAAACCATATAGTTTGCCTGGTTTTGTCATAGATAATTTATGTGAAAATATTTGAAAATAAAGTTTTACTTTTATTTACAATAAAAGTAAAACTTGACTTTCAAATATTTTCACATAAATTACTTTTAAAAGTAGGTTTCTGTAATGGTATTAACATGTGATACATTTACTTTTATGAATTATAAAAATAAAGAAGTACAGAACAGAACATTTATTTTCTAATTTAGAGCCCATAACAGACAAGGATGAAATTATTACAATAATAAGGAAAATTAAGATATGCCAATGGATAGTATAACAATTTGTAAATGACATTACTTCAAGTACATGTAGATGTACTATATGTAATACATGTAAATGTAAATTAGAAATATTACACTAAGTTCAATTTATGAGTTTAAGCAATATTTTACACAAATATATCCCTTCTATTAGGTCGAACCGTAGATATATTGACTTCACAGAAAAGCATATCGACTGCATGAGCACGAAGTGCAAAGTCAATTTGCTTTTCTGTAAAGTCAATATATCTGTGGATTGACTGAATCAAAGGGCAACATTTATTTTTTTTTTGGGGGGGGGGGGGGGACAAAAAAGAGACAAACAAATTCATTATTAGATTTTGTAAGACTTAGTTTTAAACACTTTTCACTATTATAAACACGTCTGGGTTTTCCCTAAGTTATTTTTAGTAACTCAAGCCATTATCGTAAACTAAAATTTTGCATGTGATATCGAGCAAACCATGATATTTCTTGAATTAAACAGTAAAAATAATATAAAACTAGAAACTCATTGCGAGCAATGAGAGGTCTTCCGTCCGATTCTGAAAATAAAAACGAAAATTCAAGCTGAAAAAGTGATAAAAGAAATCTCTGACTGTTTCCTAGACATTTGCAGTATCTACAACATGCATAAAATCATTTCAGGTACTTCATCGATAAGCGATATTTATGAGAAAGTTAAATATAAGAATAACGTAGTTTATCTCATAAAACCGGAAGTTGACGTTTTTGTTTCCGGTGGAATCTAACATATTTCAAAACAGCAAAAGAGATGCAATAAAGTCATGTAAGTTTTAATTTAAAAAAGAAAAGTTAAAATTTTTGATTTCTTTGATCACTTCCTGTGAGAAGCGGAAGTGACGACTGACGCGTTTAACCCAAATGGTTTCATCTACCCCTCAACGTCCATTACTCTTAAAATTTTGGTGTTTTAATCTTTTACCTGTTTTTGAGATCTCGCTCAGATAACTTCTCATTTTGAGGACAGGAAAACACGCGACCGTAAGTGAATTTTTGAAAAAAATATTTCAGGTTACTCTAGACATTTGCACTCTGAATAGCACATTTAAAATTCATTTCAAATACTTTATCTATAAAGAATATTTACGGGCAATTAAAAAAACTCAAATTACATGTATTTAGTTTTTCTCTTCTATCCGGAAGTTGTCGTATTTGTTTCCGGTGGGACGAACATCTTTTGAATCTGCGAAAAAGATGCAATAAAGTGATGCAATTTTTAATTAAAGAACGAAAAGTTTAAATTTTCGATTTCTTTGATCACTTCCTGTGACGACCGGAAGTGACGACTGACGCTCTTAACCCAAATGGTTTTGCCTACATCTTAAGGTCTGTTGCTCATAAAAGTTTGGTGTCATAATCTCTTACCGTTTCCGAGATCTTGCTCACACAACTTCTCATTTTGAGGACAGGAAAACTCGCAACCGGAAGTGAATTTTACAAAGATATTTGACGTTACTCTAGAAATTTTTAGTCTGAATAACATATTTAAAATTCATTTCAATTACTTTATCTACAGAAGATATTAATGGGAAAGAAAAATACTCAAATTATGTAGTTTTTCTCTTCTAACCGGAATTTGACGTTTTTGTTTCCGGTGGGACCAACATATTTCGAAACTACAAAAGAGATCCAATAATGTGATGTAAGTATTGATTTAAAAAAGAAAGTTGAAATTTTACGATTTCTTTGATCACTTCCGTAAGCGACCGGAAGTGCCGACGACGAACGAAAACTAGCGACCCGGCTAGTACCTATCACGAACTATAATCCGTGAAAGTTTGACATTTATATCTCTTGTCGTTCTTGAGATTATCCGCGGACAAAATGTCATTTTGAAATCAGAAAATGGTCTGTAACTTGGCACCGGAAGGGAATTTCCAAAAAATCTCTCAGATAGATCAAGTTCATGTTACAACATACTTTTCCTGAAAATTTCATGTAAATCCATCCAATAGTCTTCGAGAAATCGCGTGCACAAAATTAGAAAGTCAAAAAAATAAGAATAATAACTAGAAACTCATTGCGAGCAATGAGAGGTCTTCCGTCCGATTTTTAAAATAAAATGTAAATTCAAGCTGAAAAACTGAGAGAAAAAAGTCAGACACTCTGGAGATTTAACCCTGGTCGTCGGTGTGAAAATCCAACGTGCTAACCATTACACCATTTCAACTCCCGATTCAAAATGAAAATGACGAATATCAAGAGTTTAGATTTATCAATTCGAAAACAAATTATATATGTAGTATTTTGAAAAGAGGCTCTCTTAACCCTACAAATATTACAGAAAAATATTGAAGTTGAAACAATAGATTTTTTAAATTCGCTTCCGGTAGCGACCGGAACTAACGACGACGCATGAGAAGGTCCCTTCGCCAATCTAGAAATCATGTTCTATCATCTCTAACCAAAAAAAAAACAAAAAAAAAAACCACTCACCATCATTTATAAAGATGAAAACGTAAATTTAAGCAAACAAATTCGGGATTAAACCCAGATCGCCTTCGTGAAAATTCCATATGGAAACCACTACACCAGCGCAATTTTACCAACCATCATCGATGTTTACTTTCTATCATTGCCTGAAGTAACGAGCATCAGGGAGGTTAAAAGTTTGTTTTTTTTTTAATATAGTGCGGAATTATAGAGAGCTAGCTAGACAAATTTTGTGCAAGCAGATTCACATCGGAATTCGTTAATTGAGTTTAAACAATAACAAATAATCTATTACTGATGAACTGGTGATACTGTTTACTTCCTTTATTCATTGTGTATTCAACTTTTTATTCCATGCAATTCCATATACCTGTATTTTATATAAACGTGTCCGTTTAATCTTTTTCTGCACTTCTACATCAGACCATTTTTCTACTATGAAAGAAGAGTCACGATACATTATTTTGCACCAAAAGTCACGAGTAAATCTTTGCGCCTTTTCTTTGAAATGTATGTTCTATTGAATGGTCTCCATTCTCATATATATTATTGCATGTATCGTACAAATTACTCGCACCTTTTCTTTGAAATGTATGTTCTATTGAATGTATGTTCTATTGAATAGTCTCCATTCTCATATATATTATTGTATGTATCGTACAAATTACTCATTTTATTGCATTTTGAGGTCAGAGTATTTATGTTTTCAAAGACAGATTATCCATTTCATGGTAGTTTCCTTCAACAAGACACTCGACTGTCTCCGTAAACTCCGACCTGCCAATCGGCAATCCTTGACTGACTCCGCTACGCTCAATACAAAGCTCGGAAGTGATTGGTGGAGAAATATGCATCAAATCGATTACATTTCTCCGCCGAAAACTGCCTTGTAACTCATTTCATATTTTACTCTGCATAAAGTTCTTCAAACATTTTTTTCTCTTGTCTAATTCTTCCTTGTACATTGGTTTTGATCAAAACATCATGTAAGTAGTCTTTGAAAGCAAAACATAGTGTTGCATGTGCTTCAAAGTAACTCAGACTTCAAAGGTATAACATTTGGAGGAATTTCAAAAAAGATCACATGGCTGTATCTGCAACATGGTAGAACACCATTGACGTCCGAGGTTAGTGTGCAGGAACGAACGATCCGAGGAGCTCCGAGTGCCGACTTGCCCGTCGGAGTTTACAAAGACAGCCGCCATTTTGGACTCGCTTCAAATTTTAAGATGCGAATATCTAGAGTTTGGATTGATCAATTTTTAAACAAGTTATATATTAAGCCTTTTTGGAAATGCCTCTATTAACCCTACTAATATCAAAGAAAAATATTGAAAAACAAAAAAGTTAGAAAATTCGATTTTTTAAATTCGCATCCAGTGACGACCGGAAGTACCGACGACGAACGAAAAGTCACGTCCCGGCTAGGATTTATCACGATCTATAATCCCTGAAAGTTTCACATTGATATCCTTTACCGTTCTTGAGATTATCCGCGGACAAATTGTCTTTTTAAATTCAGAAAATGGTCTGTAACTTGGCACCGGAAGTGATTTTCCAAAAAATCTCTCGGATAAAATAACTTCAGATAGCATCACATTGTTCCTGCAAATCTCATTAAAATCCATCCAGTAGTCTCTGAGAAATCGCGTGCACAAAATTAGATGGTCAGAAAAATAATAATAATAATAAGAAACAGTAGAATCACTATAAGGTCTTCCGTGAAGACGGAAGACCTTAATAATAAGAAACAGTAGAATCACTATAGGTCTTCCGTTGAAAACGGAAGACCTAATGATATTATTTAAAATTTGTGGTTTCTACTGTCTGTTTAGGTCTGCAGTGCAGGTTCAAAGCTTTTGGTCCAGGAGTCAGTATATGAAAAAATGGTGAATAAACTGAAAGAGAGGCTGACCCACTTTCGTGTTGGGAACAGTCTGGATAAAGCTATGGACATGGGAGCCATAGTGGATGAAAGCCAGAGGAAGACTATTGAGGAGTATGTAGAGGAGGCCAGGAAGGAGGGGGCAGAGGTAAAATGAAGGGATGGATCTCACAATTTAAGATGTTGTTTGCATGTGACTATAGCATTAGGAACGATTCACTAAAAATTTACATTTAAACGACCAAAGAAAACTGAACTAAGAATGGCTCTCGTCTATTAGATACATTGTATATCATTATCTGAGCCATGCTTTTTTGAACTGCAGATGCATGATCAATTTAGATAAAGTTATTTTCATTTGAATAGATATTGCTGTCTTTGATTTGCTGAAGTTTCTCTTCCTTTTATTTCCAGGTCTTCCAGATAAAGGACAGTGTTCCCAGTGGAGGCTGTTTCTACCCTCCCACAATGATTACAAATGTACAGACAGTGTCCAGAGTAGTAGCAGAAGAGGTGAGGCTTTTTCCTCATTTCAAATAGCACAGAGCTGTAACAATTTTATTCACATTGTAACATTGCTAAAGATCTTGTTAATGATACTGTAAATTATGACAGGTCATACAGCTAATAAACAAGTCAGGTTCACCAGGTGAAACATTCCTTTTAAAATTCTTAGTAACCACATGTAAATGTATTATTTGTAGTTATGCATTGATTTTACACTGCAGGGACAGTTTGATTTATAGTAATGACTTAAAGCACTGCTTAATGTTTAAACAATATAAAAATTAAAAATCTTTATTAATTAGAGACTAACAAACCTTACTAAATGATATTTAAAGTGCAATTGTTCTTCCAATCCATTAACAGATATTTGGCCCAGTCCTTGTGGTCCTGCCTTTCAGAACAGCTAAGGAGGCCCTGGCCATCTCTAACAACACTATTTATGGCCTAGGTGGGAGTGTGTGGACAGAGAATGTGCCTTTGGCCCTGGAGGTGGCCCTGGGCATTAAAGCTGGCACTGTATGGATTAACTGTCACAACATGTTTGATGCAGCTGCCGGGTTTGGTGGATACAAGCAGAGTGGATTCGGTCGTGATGGTGGAAAGGAGGTCTGAGAAACTGTATTTTAAATTTGTTGTGAAATTAAGTATTATTATATTTACATTCAGTCATATTTGTCAACAGATATTAAATTAAATCAAATAGGATACATATGCATTTTATATCTTAGCTACATGTACTTCATTAGGAAAAACAAGTTAAACAACGAAGTTTGAAGATCAAGTTTAGTGCTTACCAGTGAAATTTACAGATTTTGGGCGATTGATTTATAGATATGACCATGTAGTTTTGATAATAGCAATGGCATTCAAATCGATATGAATTTGTTTTAAAAACTGCAGGGATTGTTTGAGTATGTTCGTCCTGCATGGGAAGATAGACCAAGGCCAGGTAAAGTGGAGATGGATTTGAAAAACTTTGGGGTTACACTCCCACAGAGACCAACTTTTGAGAATGTGGAAAACAAACAAATAACAGTTAATGGAGTTACCTTGCCAAGGTGATCACATTTGAAAGGAACCAATTTTTCAGGGATTTATAGCACAATGCCTAACTCAAAAGAAATATCAGGGAATTTAAACATGATGCATATGTATATTTAGGTTTATACATGTACATCAATCTTGTATGATAACTTTTTTTTTCATACAGCATAGACAGAACCTTTAAGATGTACTATGGTGGAGGTCAGAAGAGACCAGATGCTCCATATGTGCGACCTGTGATAAACCCAGAGGGAAAGGTCGTAGGTCATGTGGGGGAGGGAAATCGTAAGGACGTCAGAAATGCAGTGGAAGTTGCCCATGCTGCTGCTCCAGGGTATGATGGTGTTGGAAATCAACCAAATACATGAATCATACATGTTTTTGTGAACTTTTCATTTTTCTTGCAAGAAATAAGTTTTAATATCTGCAATATTTGATACTATACTTTGGAAATATTTTTTGAGACTAATCAGTCAAAAAAATTTCAGTTCAAAGGAAATGCAGTATGATACATACAATACATGTGTATCTTCTCACAAATATTGTTGCAACCAGGTTTTTTGTATTGGTAATTTGCCAAGAAGTAAATATTGCTACATATACAGCTACTTGCATACTGTAACTCGGACATGAATATATTTCTTAATCTCCAGCATACACACGTTATAAATATAAAAATGATGTTACATTTACTCATTGTACTAAAACTCTCATGGATGTCAATGTTTTGCACCAGAATATAAAATCTGCACCTATGTGATACATTTGAATTTTGTCATCTCTAACATCCGTATCTCAAATACCATGGATATGTCAAAGAGATTTGGAAGTACCACCACTTATTCTTTAAGTATATTACCCTTGACATCTTGAATCCTCGTATATAAGTTTTTTTCTGAGCCCCATTGAGTTTGAGATAATGAGGTTTGTATGTTTAATGTAATTTAGCTGGGGAAAGAGAGCAGCACACAACAGAGCCCAGATAGTGTACTACATGGCAGAAAATCTGGAGATCAGACGAGAGGAAATAGCGGGGCGGATCCAGCTTATGACAGGGCGTAAATTAGAGGACTGTCTGATGGAGGTGGATCTATCCATCCAGCGTCTCTTTCACTGGGGAGCCTATTGTGACAAGTATGGGGGTGGAGTGCAAGTAAGTCAAGTTTGTTTATACTTTGGTTTCATTACTTTTCATGAAGATAACATTTCAAGGATTAATTGTCAAAATATTAAAGTTTGTTGATATGTAAATTCATGGACAGTTATATCTTCTTTTTCTAACATTAGAAATTTTTAGTTTATTGATCTCCTAATTTCACAGTTTGGCTCAACCATGAAAACGACATAAATTTTTGTTCAACCAAGAATGCATATGCAGAATCGAATTTAGACAAGTTTTATTTTCCTTTACTTTTTCTTCCAAGGAAACAACTCTGTATGGAGCCACTGTAAAGATCCATGAACCTGTGGGAGTGATTGGAATAACCTGTCCGGAGGAGTTCCCTCTCCTGGGATTTATCTCCCTTTTTGCACCAGCTGTTGTCAGGGGCAACACCATGGTCATCATTCCTAGTCAAAAGTACCCACTGTCAGCATTAGATTTATATCAGGTAACACTGAAATGTCTCTGTCTTTTTTACTTTTAATTGTAAAAAGCTTTTCGTTCAAACTGAAGTTCATGTATTTCTTTAATCCATTTGTTTATTTTTAAAATAAAAACATAGCATAGACCACATCTTTTCAAGGGTAGTTAAAGACTTATGCTCATTTTGAAATGATAAGCAAAACAAATACTCTATAGGGGTTTAAATTTATGGGTGAATAATTATTCTTACTTTCATTTTGGCACTTTATTGCAGGTATTTGAATTTGCTAAGTATGAATTACATGTATATCTTCAATGTCTGTATATAGTGACTCTTATTTAATAGAGAAATTATTAAAATTTTCTTGAATTTGCAACCAAACGAGTGTGTTACTATTATGAAAATTTTCAACGCTAGTTATTTCCCACAATCAAATACATGAATAAAAATCTTAATTTGGAAGTTGATGAAACAATGCATAAGAGAAAATGACATACATGTATAGGATTGTTGAAAAATACATGTACATGTACAGAGTTCATGTGTGTCTTTAGTTGTATGGCTGTGAGGCAGTAGTTATACACAGGTGGATTTTTTTTTCAGGTGTTTGATACATCAGACCTTCCTGGAGGTGTGGTCAACATCCTGACTGGTGACAGAGAACACTTGACTAAGTACCTAACAGAGCATCAGGATGTCCAATCAATGTGGTACTTTGGGTCAGCGGAGGGGTCAAAGTTCGTAGAGTTCATGTCTGCAGAGAATGTCAAGAGAACGTGGGTGAATTACGGCCTTTTGCGAGACTGGACTGACCCAGAACAAGGCCAGGGGGAGGAGTTTCTGTATCACTCCGTACAGGTCAAAAACATCTGGATTCCCATGGGAGACATTTTTGCTAATTAGTTAAGGACATTTAATGACTATCGGGTAACTTCCAAATTATGGCATAATGACCTGACCAAATACTAGTGCTATGTATTATTCTAGGGCTATTTATCTAGTAAAGGTTTTCTAAAATTCTACAATTTAACAATCAAAAATCATTGAACAATCAGGTATGAATGTTCTTGTTGAGTTTGGTATTATGGTCAGAATTGTTGAAACTTCTATACCGTACTTACTTTTCTCATATACATGTACAGATGTTTGAATGCATGTAGTTGTTTTTTTACTGAAGTATTACAATATGATCATATATTATTTTATTGGTATTGGGGTCTTTTGATTTGCTACAACTCTGGATTTTTTTTAAAGATAACATATATTTTATGCCATTTTTGTACGTGTCCATGTATATTTGAAAGCTTTCTCACCTGTACAAGTCAGATGTTGGCAGCTGTCTACTGGATGCTGATCAGTGTTTGGAAACTTTTGTCTTCTTACTATGCATTTGATAAAATCTACCATAATATCTTAATGTAACTAAAATTTAACATGAGTGGCATTTAATCTGCAAATTATTTTCATGAATATTTTGTATATATTGTGAGAATGCAATAGGTAAATTTGTGATTTATTTCTATGGTGATTTCTACACATTTTATGGATACAGCTCCAATTTTCAGATAATATCTCTGAGGAATTGTTTAATATTTAGGATTTTTTTTTTCATTTATATTTTTACCCCAGGTAATTGCTTTGTGGATATAGAGGAAGCTAAGAAATCCAGCAGAATGTTTTGCCTGCAGATTCCTGGATGGAAATTGGTTCATACCTTTACACAAAAATCTTCAATGGACTCAATTTGCTATTTGATTGTGGATATTACTGTAGAGATTTTCAGAGCTATTATGGTAAAGAGATTTCTGAAATTCTTCCAAAAAGATATATTTCTGAAGAAGGTGTGCATTACAATCTAGATGTCTGATGGTCTGTATGGGAACTGATTGTCAGCCAGTACAAGTAAAGTGTATGCACCCTGATATTTTAGGTTGTAGGACACTCTATAGGCAACTGTTCAATTATTTTATGCAAAATACTGTATATTGAAATATGACTATGTTTTACAGATAAATAATTGATAAGTATTATAAACATTAAAAAAATTGATAGGTAATATAAACATTAACTACATATATCATCTTTCTATTAAAGTTTACATTGTGTGCATAATCATTTCTGAATCAGTAGATCTGTATGGATTAATCAGGATGCTGTACTTTATCTTTTGTGTAACTTAAAATGTTTCATATTAGGAAACATATCGTGTTACATTGTTACTTTGTTGATGTCAATTTACATATATTGAATCTTGTTATTTGTGTTTTGTAAGGGTTCTCATGTGTGTTCATGGATTTTAGGTTCCATCAATTTGTTGGTAGCAACTAACATTCATATATACAGTGTATATCCAATCATCCCATATTAATGTTCTGACTCTGAGCCATATTAATGTGTCTTGCTTGGTTATTTACTTATATACACAAAATATATACAAGAGCAATGCATAAATCCAGCTCACAGGAATATACTATGTTACCAGACTGTTAATGGATAATAAAATGTTACTGATTTAGAATACCAAAGTTTATACATGTACAAAAATCCACAACTAGTTTATACATGTTTGAATTATTTTCCTATAATGTGTGATGCTAGTTTGTGCCTTATGAAGTCAGTGTATAATGAAATAAAGATGGCTAGCAGATTATTAGTTCTGTTTAGCTCACATGAGCTCAAGCTTCACTCTGGGCAATGAAGTGGCCAATTTTAACTTATCTTGCAACAAAGTATACCTGGATATTTAAGTTTGTCCAAATGAAAAGTCATGCCCTCTTCCAAGGACAGGTAAGATAAACTGAAAATATGGTGGGATATGGAACAGGGAAAAAATTGAAGGCTTCCTTAAACAATGTAGATTGAAGTTTCAATGTATAATATTAATATATTAGCATCTCCATATAGTGATGAATCGGATATGTTCAATCATGGCCCCTTGGGCTAGGATGGGGCTATGGCAGGGAACAAAGGAGAAATTTTCTCAAAAACAGAAGAGCAGCAGTTTGTCCAAGGGCAGATCCAGCAATTTTATAGGGTTGATCATACAAAACAATTCAGCACAAATAACTTAAAAATCAAGTTAATTTGCAATATAATTTACTGCAAATTTAACAACTTTAATTTTCACCAAAAATAAACAGAAGTTCACAAGAAATGGTTTCATTAGACTGTAACATTGGGATAGCTATATAAACATCTCAATGACACTTACCCTCTTGATGTACAACTATCAGGAAACAATTGCCACCGACAGGTTTTACGGCTTAGGAAGAAATACTAACCAAATAAATTGTTTCACGTCTTTATTTTCAACAACTGTAATATTATGACACTTTATTGAGACATCATGTTTGTTGAGATTTTCCTCCCTTAGATTTTTCACTTTAAATAAAAATTCTAACATTTAGGCATTACTTTTAAGTAGCTCTCTAAACAAAAGAAAAAAAAATATCAATATTTTTTGTTTTTTATCCATTAAAATAATCTGCAAACATCTAGGAATTCTGAAAAGCACAGCATTTTAAAAACCATTTAGTAAATCTGTTAGAACAAAAATTTACACACAAACATACTGTAAATGCACATTATCATCAAATAAATACATTTACAAAACACAGGTTCACTTCAAATGAACACCAATATCAATATAAACTTTGTAGAAGGGAAACTGATATATTGCTGGTCTTTGTGGAGATATATAAAAATATCATGTGCCTCTGTAAGACTACTGTAGATTCAAGTTTTTGAATGCATTTCATCAGCAAGGGAAAATATAAAAGCAAGTCATTTTATTTCTCGAGTGGTGCTTTACAAGAAATTATGTGATAATAAATTTTTCGGGTATATGAAATTGATTACTGTAAGACAAAGTGTATGACAACACATACACGTACATGAACAGTGTACATCAAACTACAAATTGAACAAATATTTTCTATGAAAATAAAGAAAAATCTTCGGTACAGGTACCGCAATGAAACACACTAAGCATAAAAGTTGTGATTACATAAAGTAAAGCCTCAAATTACTTGTAAACATTTAGATGTAATTTTAATATGAACTGTATTGTATGTTTATTTCATTTTGAAACAGTTACAGTTTCTTTTTTCCATTCTACATCTATGTAAAATATATTTTCTGGAGAAAATTAAGTATTTTGTGTATAAAAATTTCAATATATGGAGCACAATTGAGTATGTTTTTAATCGCTCTATAATAATGCCCATATAAATGTATTTCAAAAAGGTAATTGTTAAATTAGTTCTTAACTACAATTAAAACATGATTGTGACGTAAACCTTTTGTTTGTATTGTCCATTCTATAGCTTAATGTTGAGCTAACTCCTCAAACAATCCATTAAGTTACCTGTAAGTGTCCATTCTTTTTGGAAAACTGTCCATTCTTTTAAGAATGGACAGTTTTTTTCAAAAAGAATGGACAGTTAAAACAAAGAGAATGGAGAGTTACAGGTAAACTTTGGAATGTGTTCAAGAGGGAAACAAAAACAAATATACTAAATACTTTTTAATTTACACGTAAATAACAAAAAGAACGCGGAGACCAAAGTTATTCCAGAACACAATGTCTACACAGCATCTGCTCGATTTCACTCTTTTAAATCCATGAATGATGCACATTATTTCAATACCCAAAACTTAATTTTCACAAAACTTGAATTCAAATGACACAATTTCGAATTCACATTTGATTTAAATTTCGGAAAAATCATTCCCTCGGGGAGAATTCATTTTCAGATAGAAGTACGTCTAGTATTAAATCCTCCACCCAGAAAACAGTTTGCACTATGAACACTACACTGCTGCAGTTAATATTTCGGTAGAAAATAAATAAAAATGAAACATTTCCCAATTTGATTTGAAAAACATTTCAGGTCGAAGATTGGCTCATGGCTAATCCAGCACTCAGAACACAATTTGCATCTCACCATTACACTGCTGCAGTTAATATATCCCCAAAAATAGAATTCAAATAAAACATTTCCAGGTTTGATTTGAATTTGATCATCTATATCTGTCGTCGAAGTTCATTTTTGGGTCAAAATTTGGCTAATATTTCTTTTACTCTTCCTTTTCTGTTTTCAGATCCAAATATCACTAATTTTGTGCATATTTTGGTTTATAAGATTTTGATTCTGTCATATACTCTCTCCATTACAGGAAAACATGTATGCCTTTACAACGCAAACTGTAAACTGATTTTGAAGCATCGCATACTTGTATAAATACTAGTATCCCACAAAATCCACCTGTAACTGTCAATTCTTAAGACAAAAACCTTTTGTTATTTGCATCTGGAAACACAATGGCTATTCAACAAATTGCTCTGCATCCCTAGCTTACCTGTGACTGTCCATTCCGTAAACAATGAACTTGCCATTGTATGTCTGCTACCTGTCATTTTGTACATTTTATATTTTATTTTCAAAACAAAGGAAATCATGTTTTAAGTAGGAGAAAGGCCTCAATCTGTCCATTCTGTGAGAGAAAGAACTAATCTCGGGCCTACGGCCCTCGATTAGTTCTTTCTCTCACAGAATGGACAGTTTTCGGCCTTTCTCCTTTACGTAAGTTTGTAGCAATTACTCATGGTATAAATAAATCAATGTACCACAAATTACTTGCAAAATAAAGCCAATGTACAAGGTTTATACTGTACCTGTATTGCATGTATGTAATTCTAGTGTCATTTTGTGATTTTAAAACATGTTATAATTTCTTACATTTCTGTATGTTAATTTAATTAATTTATTCATTGTTCTAAAATTATGTTTATCAAATCTATATTTTATTGTACAGTGCTCTAGAGTAATTTTAGATTTATATTTATTTATAAATTTATATTTTATCTGTAAACCTACAACTTTCCTGTATTATTCCTGTGGATAAATACAGCTACGGTTGATGATATGATATGTCAGTATACATGTGTATGACAATGGTACTTCAGTGGTGTTTTAGGAGATTGACTTTCTTAAACATGCTACACCTAATTAAAAAAAAAACGAAAACAAAGGCAGTTTGCAACAATCAACACAACAATAAAACATGCATATAGAAAATAATCGGGGACAGCTCAGGTTGCCTTGTCCACTTAAAACATTTTTATGTATTTTCAGTCCTCTGATATTATTTCCAAGCTGATTTTTTCATGTCAGTGAGGTGAAATTATAAATATGCACAGAACAGAGTGCTTTTGAGTTTCCACATAACAGCTGCATCCTGCTAGTATTTAGATTCTTTTTTCTCCTTGAATGAAGCGAGTAGTCCAGACATGCTGTAAAGTGCTTTACATATATAACAAAAAGCTGCTCAGTATAAATAAATGCAAGTTATTTTCAGGTACTACATCATGGCAGTTCATACCAGTACTAAGCACAGTAAGCTAGAGCTGAATCATAGCAGGAGAAAAGAAGACTAATAAGCACATTTAATGCCAGTGAAGGGAATGTAAATAATTATTTGGACACGATCGTTCAGGATATGAATATTGACACACACGATTAGGATTGATCACTGGTGCTTGTCTGGGTAGCTGAGACTTCGAATCCATCATCTGTGCTGAGGTTTCTGACAATCTCTGATATTTCTTCATCTTCTGAGTCATTTCCCTCGCTATAAGATAAATGTGGGGAGAGTCTGTACCCTCGGGTTCTGTAGGCCTGCATTTTCCCTGTGGATGCTAGCAAGAGACCAAGATAAGGGGGCGAGGGTTTCATTGGGCGGGAGATATATTCAGGGTGGTACTGGACACCCACAAAGTACTGGTGACCTGTTTAAGGGAGGTAACTCACAATTAATCTCATAACTTACATACATGTAGTGAGTATATGTAGTACTATAAAGGAATACATAGCTGAGGAAAATGTTGAAAATTATTTACTACATGGGCTTAAAACTACATCACTGACTTATTCAAGCATTAAAGACAAACACATTTAAATCACAACATTACACCTTACATATAAATACTGTAGATCACTAAATTTTCGCGACACATTATTTTCGTGAGATAGACATTTACTCTTTATTAGCTAAGGGTGCAACGATACACTAACCTCACGATACAATACGTATCACGGTATTCAGTTCACGATACGATACGTATCACGATACATGACAAGGTTAAAAAGTCTTTCAAGTTTGTCATCATATTTTTTAAAACTTGACAGGGTTATATAAAATGTTCATATTTTTAATATTTAAAATAAAATTTTGTTAACTTGAGAATTGGATTGTTAGGTAGATCTTTGAGTTTTGACTATATTCTAAACCAATGATGAACATTTACAGGGAACTAAGGGGACCTTTCCTAATAATTTTCCTTTTAAATTGGAATGAAAAAGGAAGACATTCATTCTTTTATTCCTTTTAGTTACGTAGAAAACCAGTTGTCATATTTCTCGTGTTAACACGTTTTAGTCAACAAGACAGTGAATTTTCATCGAAATACACACGTAATGAAATATCGTGTATTACCAAAGAATACGTTTAGATCTATTGGGTTTATCATTTGTCTTAACATCTATAACTTATAATCATAATCATATAATATAAGTCCTTCTCCATGTTAAATCTGAGGTCTGTACGATGCTGGAGATGAGTTTAACTTATGTTATAAATGCGTTATCGGCGACCTCACATTTTGTGCGGAAGCCATTTTGAAATTGTAAAAAAGGAAACAAAACGGACGATTCGGATAATTCTGGACCGATATCAGTTTAGCGTATCGTGAATTGAACCGTGGAAAAATATACCGCGATATACCGTCAAACAGTTTATCGTTGCACCCTTATTATTAGCGACACAAAATTTTCACGAATCGTGGTTACTACTCTATCTAATCTTTAGGAATACTAATATATGCAAGAATGATATTTTCGCAAGCACAGTGTGTCACGTAATTACGCGAAAATAAAGCTCTTGAGAATAAAGTGATTTACAGTACCTGAAAGCAAGAGTGAAATAAAGTATGTAAACATCAATTTTACCATCTAATTCCATAATTTCCATTCTCTCTCCATCAACACTGCGACCAACAAACTTCATTCCAGCATCCTCAAATGTCTGTATGTACTTCGGATTCACCTGAATTTAGAGTGGTAAAAGTTATTATCAAATATTGTAGCACCATATTATCTTCTGTACAGATTGTAAACAATAATAACGACAGATTTACCTCATATCTGTGTCTGTGTCTCTCTTCAACATATTCTTTATTTCCATACAACTTTTCTGTAATTAGACAATATTGCTTTATAACGAAATGCTCTGAAGACAACAAAGATCAACAAACTTTAAACAGTTTTCATTTTCAATTGATCATATTTACAAATCCCTTTCAAGGTGAACTGTAATTTTTTTTTTTTGGAAACAATGTAATATGACAATATGCATTGAAAACTGTACTTGTTATACAGGTCTTAGCATTGAACAGAGTCTTGCGTTTTCCTAGCCTCATGGTCCCGCCCATTTGTCCGGTATTGTGTTCTGGCATGTCAATCACCTGTTGTACATTTAAACAATAAAATGCTTTCTTTCTATGTTAATGTGGGAATTAACGGTTGCAACCATTGTACATAATCCGCATAAGTAGGATGTGTAAATTTCTTATGCCATGGTTCCAACTGTAAATCTTGGAGTGTGATGACATAAATGCTTCATTAAGGTTCATTGACCCTCTGCTAAGAGAGATAACTCTCACCAAGATGACTTTTTTCCCTTTATAATTTGTTAAAAGGTCATTTCTGTCAAATTTTACCCTGCGAGGTATGCTGAAATTGTGTACATCTGAATCATATAAAACAAGATTTGAATTCTTTTGGGAAATAATCAGCACTGAAGGGGAAAAAATACATGTGTGAGCAGAGAGTTGATGAACCTTAAGTAAAAACTGAATTCCCTGTAGCTGATAATAAAAATATTGTCTTTCTAGTACATGTACATGTCATACATGTATATAATATGAACCTTTCTCCATACCTGATACATGTAAATTTTAACAAACAAAAAAGAAAATATTCATTAAATGCTGCAATATCAGATGTGTCTCGATACACTATGATACATATTCATCTCAATACATATACAAAAGGAGATAAAAATTTGAAGGAAATGTACCTAAATTGAAGAGTACAAAGATATGTATAAACATGTGCATGTACTTGGATCATGTACAGTTTCAACACTACACCCTGTTTTATAACAACTTGGTAACTCCTTGTACTTCAGTGATAGGAATATTTTTATTATCAGCTGCAGGAAATTCATTTTTCTTAAAATGAAGATTTTCTTTTTTGATTGTCAAACTTGACATACCACATATTGTATCAAGATTTATGAATGTGTATTATAGAACAATGTTTTGAGATACACCTACATCTTGTAAGATATCTGTATATAATTAAACCCCTACAAGGCAAATGAAAGGGTTTATATTTTCACTCCCTTAAGTCAGTGTAAAGTGTTAATTACCACAGGGAATTTAGTGGCTGGATCCAATTCTGTGGAATGAGCCCCCTCCCAGCCAAGTGCATTACGAGCAAACTCTATCACAGCACACTGCAGCCCGAGACACACTCCTGAAACACCCAAGTTAGATATGAAATACATGTATAATGTGAACTGTACATAAACATATATATTTTTAACCTTCATACCTAAGAATGGTATATTTTTTGTTCTTGCCCAGTTGGCTGCCAATATTTTCCCCTCAGTTCCCCTGATTCCAAATCCACCTGGCACAAGTATACCACTGTCAGGGAAAAAAATATATATTACAATGAAAATACACCCTGGAAAATACTCAAAGTAAGAAATATGTAATCATACTGTGTTTCACTCATTTTAACAAGAATTTTCCCCATAACTACATGTTTAATGAAAAATTGTATACACACCATAAATATTATCCAAGGCTTTCACAAGTTCTTCAGTTTAAATTTCTTACAGAAATTAAATGAATTAATATTGCTCATTAACAAAACTTCATTAAGTGATGTTAGTATTATCAGTGCTAAGTGTATATCATACATACTCAGCGGACACTAGTTGGTGCCAGGCTTCGTGGTATTTGGAAGGATTTTGTTTCAGCATATCCAACTCAAGATCTGCAGCTTCTATATACTGAAACAATAATGCAACTGTTTCTGTCAACTGTCATCAGTATTCCTATCCCAAATAAAAGTAAGGATGGATTCTTTTCATATTCATTGCTTCTATAAATTTATTAAATTTCAACAGTTTCAAGAAGACAATATCCTTAAGTGATGTTATTAGTAAGATCAAATTTGACCCATCTTATTTTAGGAGCATGCAAGGTTAGGTCACTATATTTTCTCTTATCTTTAAAGATAAAAAATTACTGTTGCCACTCATGCAATGCCTTTTTTCTATCATAAAATATTAAATCTCTGCTATAGCTTATTTAACATTTGTTAGAAAAGGATCACTTACGCATAAGATGTAATGAGTAAAACTATGGAAGAAATAAAGCCCATTTATAAGGGAAAATAAACAATAGCCCAAAAAAATGAAATATTTCAACTATTAAAGAAAACAAGTATATTATCATACAGGCACATATCATTGTTTTGCTGGTCAGTCAGAAAAATTATTTGACAATTAATTGTAAAAATTTTGAAATTTCCCAATACTCCCTGCCTATTATATGCAAGGAATATTTAATTTAGGTTTCAAGTAATATTTTAGAACAAATTTAACACATTCACCAAACATATATTTTTAAAAAATTAAGATATATTGAAGGAGTGAAGAAAATTTACTTTCAATGTTTGAAAATCATATATTTTGACAAAAATCTCAAACTTTATATCTCTGGCCTCAACTGGTAGATGATGAAATTAGCAATTTAAGGTACAGCTATCTTGTGTATCCTATTTGTAACCATTGTGTGGCCAGTGACAAGGAGCCTATTATGACAGCATCAAAAAAGCAGCGAAAATGATTGTATGTGACAGAATAAAGTTGATAATCTATTAAAAAAAAATATTTTATTTTTTTTCCCTTTTATTTCCTTCTCCTATGGGACTTTATAATTTTGGGGTTCGTAAACCTAAATATATAAAAAAAATGCTGGCCTAAATGTGTATGCAAACTGACATTCTTTGGATAATCAATTCTTCACAAGTTTACATGCAATTTCATATTATTTCAAATATTTCATCTTTCATTTAGAAGCAAATAAAGTACATTAATTATGGAAGGTTAATAACTTCTACATATATACACCCTAACCCTATCCCTAATGTATATACAGGTGACTCTCGATCTCTCGAAGTTCAAGGGACCGCAAGAAAAGTTTGAGAGATCGAGGGGTTCGAGAGATAGAAAGTGAATAAAATCCGGAATTTTCAGTTCCGATCATCATTGATCTACTATTATAAATACCGTAAGTATATGTTGATAATATCAATGCACGTTTTCTTTCATATTTTACAGGAAATTCACTTGATTTCAACAACAATGAACGTATTTTGAATGAATAAAACGATCTCTTTAAGTTTCAATATTTATTTGTTCCCATTTCATGATAACATGAAACCTGAATTGCAATCGTCGGTATGGCTATACCCCCGGGCTTGATCGAGTCCTGAACCAGATTTCTTGTATTAAATCGGTATTCAATTCTTGTGCAATGTTTGTCATACTGGGATTATATAGACTCTAATAAAACTTCATAATCTAAGGTAAATTATTTACTCATCTCTTAAATTATTTTCTGAAAATTATCGTCTCGCTGTCAAGTCAAAATATGTTGTGAAGCAATTCGTTTATAATTTACCAATTATAATCAATTATCAACACTCGGATGCTCACAGGTATAGTGTCATCTATGTAAACACCCAATTAACACCTCCATGCCAGCCCCAGGCGTTCACTGTTATCCAGGTAAGTCCAAGCTGCATTAATTTTACGCTTGATTGGTGTGTACACACGCGCAATCAAAATTTTGAAAGATAGAGAGTAAAAAACAATGAAATGTGTGTAACGGGACCAAGGTTTTGGTTCGAGAGATGGAGAACTTCGAGAGATCGGAAGTTCGAGAGATCAGAAGTGAATTTGCTTTAGTTTCATAGAGGAAAAAAACGGGACAGGAGGTTCACTTCGAGAGATCGAGAACTTCGAGAGATCGGAGTTCGAGCCATCTAGAGTCACTTGTATAGTCATAGTGTACAAAAACACGACTATGTATGGTGTGATAAGTTACCTTGAGGTTTAGTCTGTGGCTGACACACAGGGCACTGTGTTGTAAAGCCTTGATGACAGAAGCATAGGCGTCTTCTAGCTGAGTATATTTACCAACTAGAGCAATGGTCACCTCTCTCAACAGCTGATCATGTCTGAAACAATGACAGAATTTCTTCAATAAAATATGGATTTTAAAGTACCAGAACACATTAAATGAAGTCTTCTGTTAATAATTTGTAAATTTATGATTCTTTCATGTTTGAGTACATAGCTTTATGACTTATGTTGTGGTTTCAATAATTTTTTTTGTTGAACACCAATTTTAGGTTATCAACAACTACAATTTTTTTTTCATAAATTATTTTAAAACAAGACATTCAGTTGTCCACAAATATACCTATCATGAAAGTGAAATTTTTGACAGAACCACGAAATTTGATCCCCATGAAAATTAGTAAAACCACAGTATATAAATCAATGTAGGGTTTTGGTTGGGTTAAATTATTCCATTTCTCATCTTAGAAGCTATGAATCACAGACTATAACCTTTTGGCAAGGTCTTTCCACCGTAACATCCAGCGGTTATTGTGTGGGGAGGGGTACTTGAGGTGGAGCCTCTTCATGAGGTACTCTGATACACCCTGTTCTGTAAGCAGTAGGGGGACTCGATATATAGAAGAGACGTCATGTATCGAAAATACCTACAAAAATAGTAGACAAACTATTTATAGTACAGTTACTGTATAAGCAGTTTACTAAACTGCCACAACAAAGCTCTCAAACTTGCGGTAATACAACTTCTGAAGACATAATCATGACTAAATTGAGTTAACACTAATGAATAATTAAGGAAGAGAATGCAAGGAATGAAAAGTTCCTTGCAGATGATACTGAATCTTCTAAATCTTTTATAGGTGACACAGTTTAAGTACCTGTTGAGATTCTGGTGACACAGTTTACATACCTGTTGAGGTTCTGGTGACACAGTTTACATACCTGTTGAGGTTCTGGTGAAACAGTTTACATACCTATTGAGGTTCTGGTGACACAGTTTACATACCTGTTGAGGTTCTGGTGACACAGTTTTATCTTACTGTTGAGATTCAGGTGACAGAGTTTATCCTACCTATTGAGGTTCTGGTGACACAGTTTACATACCTGTTGAGGTTCCACATGACAGAACAGGGAAATTTTAGATTTAACACTTTCAGCCACTGGACTCTGGCATCGACACACAATCTAAAAGAATACTTAACACTAAAACATTTGCATGGTAAACACAAGAAAGTGAAAATTGCATACTTTTTCATTTTTTCCTTATCTTTGTTTTACTTGAGTAAGCACGGGCCTTTTAGCTCAATTATCCTAATCTTTGACTTATTCATTTCAGATTCAGACAAGATGAACATAATCAAAATACAGTCAAACCTTGTTATCTCAAACCTGATTGGACCTAGAAAAAACTTTCGACATGCCGGGTTTGTGATATTGAGGGTAAAATACTTAAAGAAAAAGTTCTTGGGATTTTCAAATCACTTCGACATATCCATGGTATTCAAGATATTAATCCATAATATTTTATCCATGTCATAATATCATGACCACTGTAAAATTCTTTTCTTGGGTCTCAATTATATACCATGCATGATGTTACAGTGAAATAAGGACATCACAATCGATTCAGGATTAACTTAACCCACAATTTTGTTCTCAGTTAATGTGACCCAGAGTAGACGTAATGTGAGTTAACCCACATTTATCTGAGATAATCTTGACTATCTATGTAGTGTTAACTGGCCACTACTTACCCTAAATAATGAAGTTGTACATATTGACTTACTAAGTCTGGGGAGAGACCTAAGCCTCGCAGTTCTCTCACACTCTGCTGTGTTGGTTTGGTTTTCTGCTCTCCCGTACTTCCTGGCTGGAGAAGTCAAGTCAATCTCCATAATTAACAGTGATACAGAAATTATAATTAACAGTGATACAGAAATTATAATAGATGGTTTTCCATCAAGGTGATTTTAAGTAAGTTATTTTCCCATGGCCGCCATATTGTAGGTCAACATCCCCAGATCCCTTCATTATTCAACCAAGTTCAGTTTGTTATACTGGGCACTGAGGTGAAGATAACACTGTTTTTCTTATGAATATACTTTTGTTAAAGCTTCTTTTAATTCATAATTTCAATATTGTAAATACATTTTCCCATATATTTCTGGCATGCATGTTTAAAATTGGTTGCTCAAAGAGGAAAATTTACTACTTTGACCTACAAGATGGCGGCCAAGGGGAATAACTCTGAGGCAAAATATATCATAGGAAAACTATCTATTAACAGTGATACAGAAATTATAATTAACAGTGATACAGAAACTATAATTAACAGTGATACAGAAATTATAATTAACAGTGATACAGAAATTAACAATTTTTTCTTTTTTCAGATTAAAATTAAAATTTGGGAAGAAAATACAATGTATCTGTTCCCAGATTAAGATTCAGAAGATTTTAACTCGTTCGGTATACTGTACCTGGGGGACAAGACTGACGTGAACACAGCAATAATCTTCTCGCTTGACACGGAAATGGAAGAACTGACGGAATGCTTCAATGAATGGCATACCCTCGATATCCCCTATAGTACCTCCCAACTGGAAATAAAGTCATTCATATTACATGTGTCCTCTGTTCAGTATCACACAATACAAGGAAAAATAGAAAACTCTAATTCATTAATTTTCAACTTAAATCATCATAAGGAATTATTTTATCATTGAATTTTGAATATGATAAAGATTTAACTTCAAATTCTTGGTAAAAGGTTGAAAACCATAAACTAATATCTACACCAGCAAGGTTGGCATTCACAAAGAAAAATTTCCGACAAATGTAGAGGATGTCCAACATACCTCTACGATACAGACTTCTGGTATCTTATTATCCCCATCTACTGGTATTTTAGCAACTCGTTCTACCCACTCCTGGACTGCATCAGTAATGTGAGGGACAACTAAGGAATAAAAGGTATTCCAGTGAACATAATTAGGGACCAGTTACTATTGTATTTTTGACAAATCATCTATACTATAAAGAAAAAAAAACTTTGACAAGAATCTTCATGCAAAAGTGCTTGGTAAACACAATTTCAATGAACTATCTACAAAAATGCCAGTCTCCCACTTATTATTTCACAATTTTACAAAAATTTACCTTGCACAGTTTTTCCTAGGTAATCTCCCCTCCTTTCTCTATTGATAACATGCTGGTATATTTTGCCTGTAGTGATGTTGTTGTCACGATGGAGAGTAATATCAAGAAATCTCTCATAGTTACCAAGGTCAAGGTCAACCTCTCCACCATCATCCAGAACAAAAACTTCACCTGGTATATAAAAAACAAAGCATTTATAATGAATACCTAATACTTGATATCGTGATCACTTCATTATGGGAACTCTTTTACCATGGAGGTAGGAAACATCAACTAGCTGGAGCAATGTGCTATTGAATACACTACGAGATCAATCACTGTAGATCTTTAAGGGACACATAAGAAAGAAGTCCTGGTGAAATACCTTGCTAAATGATTGTGCACTACGCTGATAAAATTTAGGATATGCTAGTTTTCTTGAATTATATTTTTTGTAAATATTTTCAGCTAATTCGACTCTTCTTATAATAAATTCAACCATTTCTCTCTGATAAGCGTTACTTTTGGAAGTCTAAACATTCCGTATAAAATAAGTTACTTCCTGAAATGCAGCCTTTGACAATTCATTTTAATTTTGGCCTACTCATTGTTTGAATCATTTGATTGTCACTATAGCGTAAACAATATGTCATGCCCTGAAAATGACATGAGATTTAGAGCTATCTTGACTTTATCACAAAAGAGTGGCAGTAAGTTAGATAACCCCAAGGCAATGGCAATACTAAGTATTAATGACACGATATTGTTTTAATGCATCAATCATAAAATCTTGGAACCGATATACATTATATAAAGAGTTTTATTATCATATCTAAAATTAAGTAAATACATGTATTCTCAAGATACTGTTTTCTTATTGTTTTTTTTTTTTTTTTTTTTTTTTAAAAATCATGCCTCAATCTTTAATCAAATGAACATTTATTATTACTTGCTTAAGAAAATGGAAAACAAACCATGCTCATAAGGAGAGAATGTGCCAGCATCTATGTTGATGTAGGGGTCAATCTTGATAGACGTTACCCTGATACCACAGGACTTGAGGATCATACCTAGACTGCTGGCTATGACCCCCTTACCAATACCACTGATCACTCCACCTGACACTAACACATACTTCATGGCTGTAATGCTTTTCACGATGGAAGCCAGGGTTCTGAAAATTCAAGTCCATTTACTTTTGTAGAAAATTAAAAATTAAACAAGAGGCACCACCCATGGGCCAAAAAGCTCACCTGAGAAATGTTAGCCCTGCTGTTCTTCAGATTTCCAAAAAAAAAAAACAATATATTTCAGTGAAAAATTCTGACCCCATATTATAGCCTCCCTCTAAGGGTCTCTGAATTCACAAAACATGGGGATTCTTCAGTATCATTATGTTTAACTTGGCCTTACAGTTATTATCTTTTCCTGTATACATGTATTTATGTAAAATTTGATCCCTGATTTAGCAAACTCTAACCTGGGGCATAATTTGAAAAAAAAAAAATGAATCCACTCAACTTGGGAATATCTGCATATGTGTGGCGTGATTGTGGTTCTTCAGAAGATTTTCAAAAATTATTTCGTATAAAGTCCCATATTAATTTTTGAACATTTTAAAAGAATTTTTCCTATATACTAGTATTTTATTGTAAAACTTTGTTTCCCATTATGGCCCCAACCTACTACCAGGGGCCAAGATAGGTACAATTAAAAAATCTAAAACACCTCAGGAAGCTTCCACCTAAGTTTCCTGTCTTCTGGCCCAGTGGTTTGTAAGAAGAAGATTTTTAAAAGAATTTTTCGTAGGTGTTTCAATGTAAAATTTCGATCCCCCGTTGTGGCCCCACCCTATCCCCAGAGGCCAAGACTTAAACATTTTAGAATCTACACTATCTCAGGAAGCTTTCACATACATTTCAATTCTTCTGGCCCAGTGGTTTTTGAGGAGAAGATTTTTAAATAATTTTTCTTATATGTACTTCAATGCAAAACTTTGATCCCCTATTTATGGCCCAACCTTATTCCCAGGGGCCATGATTTCAACAATGTAGAATCTAAGCTTCCACACAAGTTTCATCTCTTCTGGCCCAGTGGTTCTTGAGAAAAAAATTTAATGACCCCCCTATTTTTGCCTTTTCTTCATTATCTCCCTTGAAATAGGACTTGGTCCTTTGCTTAAGCAATTAAAAATGATGCTTTGTGCCAATATTGGTTAAAATTGGCCTCATGTTTCTTAAGAAGAAGCTGATAATGTGAAAAGTTTACAGACAGATGGACAGACAGAGAGACGCTGGACACCGGGTGATCAGAAAAGTTCACTTGAGCTTTTAGCTCAGGTGAGCTAAAAAAGGAATAAAATTAAACAGGAAGAAAGAAATCTACCAAATTTGCAAAACATTCTGTATCATACAAACATTTACAAAAAAATTGTAATAAAAAATCATTTAACACAAGTTTCAATCCCCTATTTTTGCAATAAAGTCAATAGTTTTATACAGTGAATTACTTTTGTAGTGTTTTTTATACAAGATTAACATAGATATGTTGATGTAGAACATGTGCTGTCAGTCAACTGTGACGTACCACAGGGCTCATTAAATAGTGGTTCACAAAACAATCTCATTGAAATAGCCCATTAATTAATTTTTTACATGATCAAACTACATCTAAAGAATTTAAAAAACAAGAGAATCATAACGAATCAGCTTCAATGTTGCAGTTGCAGTACAAAAAATAATCAGCTGGCGAATGGTAGTCAAAACACGTGGTCTTTTGAGGCATTGCTCAACAATGAACTACTTATTTACGAACGATTAGCAATTGATGTAAAGCTGTGTTGTCTGTAGAACAAAACTGACACATTTATAAACAAAGTTTCATAAAATAAATGCATTATCTACTTAGATAAAAGTCTTTAACCTTCAACAGCCGCCAAAAATTGTTTCCAATATTATGAATATACAACCTTTTCATGAAAAACCCCGAGTGCTTCCGATAATATGCGAAATATCGATCCCGATCTCTCGATCCCCCTCCTTTTCTATCTCTCTCAATTGCTACATAGCTGATGAAAAAAAGATGAGTAAGAATTTTTATGCGATTTTAAATGAAAAAGTTCTATTGAGAAAATAAAAAAAAGAACAAAGAGAAGAAATATTTTAATTAGATACTTCAGTATATACAGTAATCAATTTTTGACCAGTAGGATTTGCTACAGCTCGAGCATACTCATGATGATCTTTATTTGAATGCAGTCTTATGATTAGAAAACCGTAAAACCTTTTCACTTAACCCAGTTTTATTTTAAAGAATCCTACCTTGTTTGTGACATTGTCTTATATATACACCTTAGAACTTTATGGGGAGTTTTGCGATGGTCACATCGTAAACCGATATTTTTAATGGAAGAAGTAACTCAAACATCTTTATCCAAAGCCCTCCATCCCTGGAACAAGATCAGGTCATTGTGGTCAGGTACACGTGGTATGGACATACTCTGTTGAATTTATCAGCGAAGCTACTAGGAAAAAAATAAAGGTTACAATCTCTCTGTCTCTATCGGTTCTCAATCGGTCTCAAAATGTTGTTTGAAATATAAAACCTTCGTTTTTTTGTTTTTTGTTTTTGTTTTTGTTTTTTGTTTTTTGTTTTTTTTTAATTTCAAAACAACATTTCTCGACTTCGGAGGTTATCCCGCAACATCATTAAAACAAATACTTTACTTCTTAAATGACTTTGAAACTCGATCGGTTGTTTGGGAAGAAAAACAAAGGTGTTTGTGAAACACATATGCACAAGTATGGCAACTCATAGCGAAGGTTAAACTTTCTCAAATGCAAATCAAATATGTTGGTACCCAAAGTAAGGTCTTGTGGTCATACCAGTGAAATATGAGAGCCCTATCAGCAACCATTGAAAAGATATGAAAAAGGTTAAAGTTTTTCAAAAGAAAGTCGAACATCAAGGTCAAATGGTCAAAATTAATGGTGCCCAAGGAAAGACCTTCTCACAAGAAATACACATGTGAAATATGGAAGCCCTAGCACCAACCGTTCAAGAGTTATGGCCAAGGTTAAAGTTTTCCAAAAGTAGGTCAAGATCAAAGGGTAAAAGTTGTTGGTATCCAAAGGAAGGTCTTGCCATAAGGATTACATATGTGAAGTATGAAAGTCCTAGCATCAACCGTTCAAAAGTTATGGCCAAGGTTAAAGTTTTTCAAATATAGGTCAAACTCCTAGGTCAAGGTCAAAAGGTCAAATATGATGGTACCCAAAGAAAGGACTTGTCACAAGAAATACACATGTGAAATATGAAAGCCATAGCTCCAACCAATCAAAAGTTATGGGCAAGGTTAAAGTTTTTGCGGACAGACAGACTGGCGGACAGGGCAAAAACTATATGCCCCAGAATCTTCGATTACAGGGGCATAAAGAGAAAAGAAAACTGACTGAGACAAGATATGTGTTTGTGAAACACAATGCCCCCGATGGTAACACAATTCTGGAGTGGTACGTAGACTACAGTGCAATATAGTTATGGCCAGTGTTAAAGTTTTTCAAATGTAGGTCAAAGGTCGCAGTTGAATTCACATCATCAAAAATTTCTGTACCAATGTAAAGGTCTTGTCAAAAACAATATACCTCATGGATCTTTTGATGCGGGGCATAAAAACTTTTATTTAACAGATGTCATAATTAAAATAAGGTTGTTTAAATATTTGTGATAAACGGTAACATCTGTTAAATAAAATAAACACATAGAAGTTATATCATTTTCCGATTTTTCTCAATTTTTAACACGAACAAGGAACACAAGCTAGTATATCTAACAAAATTACATTTTTCATCCACGAGTGCATGCAAAGATATTTGGGTTCACCTACTCTGGATATTCCAGCCCCACTCATAGAACTTTTGCATATTTATAACCATGGGATATCATAAAAGTACTATATATATATATATATATATATATATATATATATATATATATATATATATATATATATATATATATATATATATATATATATACATATATATATATATATATATTGGTAATGCAGAAAAGAAACACTTTCTCAATAATTTTTATGCCCCCGTACTCGAAGATTCGAGGGCATATAGTTTTTGCCCTGTCCGTCCGTCTGTTTGTCTGTCTGTCTATCTATATGTCTGTCTGTTTGTCCGCAAAAACTGTAACCTTGCTCATAACTTTTGATTGGTTGGAGCTATGGCTTTCACATGTGTAATCCTTGTGACAGACCCTTACTTTGGATACCAACATATTTAATTGATACATGTGTATGCGCCAACAGAAATGCTAGCGAACAATTCGAAGATCGAATTTTACACTGTGTTTAAGAAGTGTAATAGACAGCGTACATCACCATGATATAAACTAACATGAATGCAAATGTAGGGAACGAAAACAAAAGTTTCGAAAGAGTAATGGAAACACACGGATTACGGCGGATTAGGGATGAGAAATGACAACGGTGAAACGCTATGCTATTTTTTGCAATTCATATGATTTGGTAATGACAGTCATCATATTTCCACAAGGAAAGGGAAGTCACCGAATGGAAGGATTGACCATACATTAGTGAAACAGAAATTCAGAACCTCAGGCCAACTTTAAAAAAATTGTTTGGTTGCTCTCTCTCGACCGACTGGCTGAAAATAGCCCAACTTTTTTAACCTCCAGGAAACAAATATTTTTTGTTATGCATTTCGAAAAATAGATTTTGAAAATTCAGCATTGATGTTGAAATTTTCTGGAAAATTTTATTTCACACCTACCTACCGTCCGAATTTTTTCATCCTGAGTCGGGAGAGGACTATCAAACATTTTTTTGAAGTTGGCCTCAGAGATAGATACAATTAAGCAGACATTGGAAGTGATCACTTCTTAATGTACACTTCAATAAAACTGAATCTGATGAAAATGAAAGAAGGAAGAAAGGGAAATCGAATGAGATTCGATAGACACAAATTTAGACTTTACTCGGCACTCGGGATCATTGAGCAGTGAGGGATCTTTGTCGTGCCAACGCCTGCCGTGACACGGGCCTCGATTTTTAACGTCTAATCCGGAAGACCCAAAACTCTCAATTTGGGCGCTTGGCAAAGGTACAGTTGCTACATGTACATACCTAATTTTTATCGACTTGGGTCAGTCGCGGCCGGGGTTTTAACCCACAACCTTTAGACCCCGTAGCGAGCGCTCTACCGACTGAGGTACCGAGAATGTGATCCCTTTGAGGAGAAAGATAAAGAAGTAAAAAAAAAAATTAAAAAAAACATGTGAGAAATGATAAAATACAGTGGGTGGAGAATTTAGCGACACAAACAATAAGGACGCAACAAGACACCAAAACCTGCAGACATTACACGGGCTTACAAAGATGAAAGACCAAAACAAAGTGTTGTGATTGAAGACAAGGATGGCAAGACATCAGGGATAGAGAAGACTCAGCTGAAGAGACATTAAGGGGGAATGAACACTTTTAAACATTTTCAACATAGACAAGCCAATATATGACTTAGACGAAGAAGTTACAGAGTCGCAAGTAGCCTAGCACTAGCAGAGATAAAAACCAATGGACCATCAAATGGAGAAATAAAAAAAATGCTATCAAAAACCTAAATAAAATGGCAAGGCACCATGAATAGACTCTGTCACAGCAAAACTACTGAAAGCAGATATCTATATTTATAAATTAAATAAATTTTGCAAATAAACGCCGAAACGCCTTCACCAAAGTTCATACTTACTCCTCTAATATTATAATAGGTATAAGATAAGGTCTGTAAACTAAATTTAGATTTCGCTCGGATAAAAATTAACGTAAATCTTATCAAAAGTCTACTTTCGTTTTCGATATAAACCCGCTGTGAAATAATAAAAAAAAACAGAGAGTAAAAGGTGGTGGTTGGCGGATCTAAGTTACTTGCAAATTTTAAACTGACAACAAGCAATGATAAAACGTCATTAAAGTGAAATATGAAGATGAACAGTTATCAAGCTCAAAAGTCCATTGAAACAACACAAATTGGGAGCATAGCAGACACGGACCTCTAAGACATCAGAGATGGGATCAGGTGCCATGGGGGAGTAACCATCTCCCGTCGAGCGGTCATACCCGCCGTGTGCTCCTTGTCAATTCTTTGTGTAAATAATGGCCTAAGAATTAGTATTAAAAACGCCAATGAACGTTTGACTTAATGATAGAGTGTATTTACTGAAAAGGTCATTGTATCTACCATAAAACTTGCGAAATCTTGATTTTAAACAATACTGTATTGTTGATATCCTTGTTTTATCAACTTGTTTGTCAATAGTTTGCCTCGTTTTAGAAACTGTTCGTACGTAGAGTATGCTCTTGTGTATCGAATCTACTGGGAGCCATAAACTCCATATGCAGGCCATAAAGGGTATATTACTACATACATAAGGGAAGTTGACGATAGGAAAGATGAAATCATCATAAAGCTTGCCCGGTACTTGTAAGTTTGCCTTCAATGTTTTTTTTCTAGTAAAACATCCAAATATGAAACAGATGTGTCATACTCTAAGGTGTCTTTTATTTCGTGTTCAGTTGGATGTATGGATTCAACGTCAGAATAAAACTAAATGTTTTTAATTGATAAAACATCGCCAATATATCTAAAAGTAAAAGTTTTTGAATAAATTATGCAAGTTGGAGTCGTCACGTTTATCATGAAGTTTTGTTGTTGGGTAACTTTTAACGTCTTTTTCTATAGTAAAATATCCAAATACGAAACAGATGTGACAGACTCTATGGTATCTTTTATTTGAAGTTCACTGAAGTGAATTTTTCATACAGTTAATATATCGAAAGTTTGAAATTAAAGGATTTTATACGCAGAAATTTTGTTTTAGAAGAAGCTTTATGTGCACCCCCCCCCCTTAAAATGATAATAATAA